TGATGATGATGATGATGATGATGATGATGATGATGATGATGATGATGATGATGATGATGATGATGATGATGATGATGATGATGATGATGATGATGATGATGATGATGATGATGATGATGAGGAGGAGGAGGAGGAGGAGGAGGATGACACATTTATTTCAATGCTGTCATTCTATATCTGGCCATTGAATTGAGTAACATGATAAAATAGAATTATACATTTAATAAATTAGACGACAACAATTGGGTTTAAAGTTAAGTAGGAACGCTTTTGTACTCCAACCTACAGACAGACGACAACCATACACGCTGACATAGGACAGACAAATGACGAACAAGACAAAACAAACAATTGTGAAACAACGCCACATTAATAAATGTGATTTAGGAATATGAGCCCAGCAACCAGGTTCTTAGTTTTCTAACAAACACATATAAAGAAGGTAATGATTTGAGAGAATCATATAGACCATTCCAGTACAAGATACCTTGATGAATAACATCTTTCATAGCCAGTGACGTTCAAACTGGACACAGGGCCTACAAGTTTCCCCTCACACTGCTTCGAGTATTTTAAAATATGAATGTTAGATGCTTATGTAAAACAAGAATTTAAACTGGAAGGGAGTAAATTGTGCATAAGTTTGTACACTGAATTTTCCCAGATTAAGTTCGTATAAATGGTATATTGTGAATCGTCTGTATTGTGGAAAAACGGACCCGATCTGTGACCTGATCCGAAGGTTGGTTTCGGTTCGGGCCGGTCTCGTCATTACATTAGCACTAGCCCTGGCTTAGATATCTGCTTGATGGGCTGAAAATTAATGTTGTCTTTGATGGGTCACACCAGCCCTCTCACTTCGTCCAGCTATATATTGCATCTTTACCCAGTCATAGTATCCGATCGTAGACCACGCATGCCCCATTCAGCAACCTCTCACATGGTTGTTCCTCGCAGTGGCAGGCGAGTGTTGGACGAATGATACATGAGGCCACTTGCCACATTCGTTGGCCTACATCCAAAGCCAATCCAAAAAACTCTACCCGCTGCCCCCGTCGGCGTGATCTAGTCTGCTTTATATCGTCTGTCTTCGTCATGACACGCCTTGTTCTCATTAGCATTTCGCTCATATTCACCGAGAGTCCTTGTGTTTGGCACCAGAATACAGTGAAAAATTGCATACCAGGAACAGTAGATCCAATTTGTGTCAAAACCTATGCCAAACGGAGACATCATTCTGCATATAAACTAAACACAAGATATAAAACTTGGGATAAGACTTTCAGGTGATAGCGGGTAAATGCACCCGTACTTGCTGTAACCCATTATGTCCGACCTTTTATCCAATCTGAAAGTAATGCTTTAAGTTCAGGTCCAAGCAAACGTATCTTGGGGTTCTTCTGATTTAATATCATCGGTTGAAAACCCTTAATATTTCATACGTTTTGAGATTGGCATAATCCCCCTTTGAATTTTCTCCTTTCGAGCATGGAGCATTATTTTGATTCCTCTATTTTCGAGGGAGCATTTCTTTCTTTACAGTGCAGTGACGCATGTCTCATGCATCATTCGGGTAACGCCCCTCTTGGGTCCAAATTCCACCAGTCCGCTTACCCACCCCTTTTATAAAGCTGACGCGCCTTATGACATGAGGATTTTCAACGATGAGAGCTTAAGTCGAAGTTAGAGTTCCCTCTCGATATATGATTTTAAAATAATGTACATTTTTTTATTCTGAAATCACGAACCTATTTCCCTTGAACCCAGTTGCCCAACGTCAGCAGTATTGTTGTTTGATATATCACGCAGAGATACGACAATCGCAGGTAACCAACCACGGTGTACACAAAAGGAACCAATGATGCATGAGAACCGGTCGAAAGCGCTTTGACGTACAAATCTATGGAAAGAGGTCCATCACAAACGTGAAAATATTTGGAGTGCATTGAATCTATTCATTTTTCAGACCTTCACAACTAGTACTACCGCTAGTACCGGTGGGTGTGAGACGTGCTACAAGTGAGGAATTTGTGATGTTCACCCTTCAAAATAAGATGAATTCAAAACGGGTCGTGGGGTGGTAGCGTAGTCGATTGAAGCAAGCATGTGGAAGAAGATAGGGCATCAGAATTATTGAGACACGTCGCTCTGCAGGATTGTGTGGTAAGTCCGTGTGTTTTCGACATCACCCTAACAAAATAAAAACTAAGTTCACGTTAAATTACCGATAAACCTTAAAAGGGAAAGATTTCGGACAACATCTGATGCCCTTGCGTGCAAACCTATAAGACTTGTCTGAAAAAAAATTAAGTGTTTTCTCGTGTACAAAGTGATAACCTCCTAAAAAGTGAATTTTAGCCACAATAGGAAAATACCCAAACGAAATACATGTAGACTGATAGAAAATGGGCTGCCGACTTTCATCAACATGCAATAGTAGCATGGGCTTTGGACATGTTGGAGCCGGCCAGCTCGGTCTGGAAATATTTTGCCTTTTAGATGTTTTGTTTTGCAAGTGAGGTGATTTCTGACCACTCTAAGTACTTCTTTTGAGCAAAAGATAATTTAAACATGATCATGCATAGAACTCACAGAACGTATTATCAGTACTGAGTAATTATTAGTTTTGTCAAAATTATTGTTTCTTTGGAACTTTTTTTAATTTGGCCATCGGGCCACAATTAGGGACAAATAAAAATAATTGTATTGCCTACATGAATCACTTTACATGTCTTTTTTTTATTAGCTTGAGAAATCCTATGTGGGTGTGAGAATTTAACTTGAAAGAATTTTGAAATGTTCACAGAGATTTACAAAAGGTGTATTATTTAAGTTATAAACTGAATGAGTTTGAAGTTTGTCAAAGAGATTTGGCAAAACTGCATGAGGAAGTTGAGGGAAATTCCACTATATGTACAGTGTAGTTGGTAATTTGTATAGGCCTGCGTGTACATTTGTTGAGTTTCATGCTTAGAGCTATTTTGTTTTGCTAGTTTTTGTAAACTCTGGTTTTATTGGCTATCCAGGCACTAAAATACAGTAACTTATTCCATACATTTTGTTTGTAAAGTTTAGTTGTTTGAAACTAATCTATGGCTTTCTTAGGTAGACCCGTCAATCATTCTCATTTATTCAAATTCTACCTTCCAAGGCAGAGTGGAGATTTAATCTTTGTGCTGGAACTAATGCTCAGGACGTTACCTGCATACAAACAGCAGCAAGTTTATTCAGATCCCATTAATAATTTCATTGATGCAAATTCACAATGGCTAAAGATCACCACCGCTCAGATTTAAGTAAAGAAAAAAAAGTGCTAATAAGAATCACTAACCCAACTCTGAAACGCACAACAAGAGGAACACCTGCATGGGCATGTTACGCTGACTGGCATTTAACAACTTGGCAAAGTTCAGCGGATGGGGGGGGGGTTCAGGCACCTGTAGACAACATTAACTTACTGGTGTACAAATAAGAGGTTTTTAAGTGTTAAGATGAGCAAAGAAATGATGGTGCTAGGTGTATTTCTTTTCAAAGAGAACAAAAGAAGGTACATAAAAGCTGCAGGCCATTATCAAATACATGTACTATTGCTACATTATTGCAATAGTGTACCAGCTCACAGTTGAGCGAAAATATTCCTCAGGTTGGGTCTGAGTTGGTTAGGGGTGGGTCTGTGTTGGGAGTCCGATTTGCATGGGTCTGAGTTGACTTGAAACCCTACAAATTGTCTTTTCTTAAAAACATTTGGACAGCCTAACCATGTCAAAATTTTGAAAGAGGGGATTTGTAGAGCCCTAGTTACTTGGACCGTGTGATGACAGGGCTCGCATCTTTTCAAGGTGGCTCTGAAAGCCTATATAGGCTGTTCACATTTCTGTTGTAGGCAGTGGATATTGGACAGTGTAAACCACACCCCATTTCGTTTAAATTTTGTACTGGCATGAAATGAACATGCTCGATGAACATTTGGGGAGGCTTAGACATGTTGCGAAAGCAAATCCTTTTCTGGTTCCAATTTCCATGCTACATTTTCATCAAGTTGTACGGTGGAATTCAAACCTAATGCAATTTCAGACTTAATTTCTCTTTTAAAGAAAACTCCAGAACCAAAACTCACTAGTGAAGGTGAAATATTCTGAAATTTAATCCTAATTATCGCCAACCAGCCAAACTCCAACATTAGGACCTGTTGAGATCAGTTAAGATGAGTACTGTACTAGTTGTACAGTTTACTATATGGAGTTGGGATTCGTAAGTATGAGGAAGGTTCCTTGTATAAAAGGGTTAAAGCAGGGTTACAAAAAGGGCAATATTTTGGTTTCGTGTTGACGGTGTAAAAAATAGTGTTGCATCTGGTTCACTGCAAAACATGCATGTACTTGTAACTTGCTGTATTCTTCCCCTGCCTGGGACTTGGCACTTGATGGGAGCAGTTTATTTAAATACATTTGAATTGCCGTACACGTACTGTAGTTGACAATTTTTCGGAGAAATCATCTGTTTCCTTTCCCTGTCTTGTCTTTGATAGAGCCTGTGGTATATGTGAATGTAAAATGGCACTAAAGATACCATAGGATTGAAACAACAGCATCATGGGTGGGTCTCATTCAAAGTCAGAAGACCTGCGAAAGAGGGCATTTCTGACTTCTGTGAGCTACATTGATTCTCTTCAAGAGGTAAGATGATAGTATGATAAATACAGTACAGCAAAAACTACGCCAGTACACATGTATGAAACAGCGAGACGAAAAAAAAAAGAAATACAGAAACCCAGGGGTAAATATCAAGAATTGAGAAAGGTTAATGTAGAAACTATGACCCTTAGGTCTTACGTGTGCCAGAGGTGTTAAATTCCAAAACTCATGACTATAAATTTAAATTGGAATTTCTAAAGTACATTGTAAGTGTCCAATCATAAAACAAATATTAAGTTACGTTCAGAAGTACTGAATTGATTGGCAAGGGCACTGCATAATGTTGGACACAGAAGTCCAACATGAACCCATATAAGCATGTATTCATTCAGAAACAAAGAAGAAAACCAGTGTACCAAAAACCATGTAGAATTTGCAAATCACCCATAATTCATGTTGGGGCTGAGTCAATTCGAATGATTGACTATTTGAATATTCAACTTTCAATTTAATTGAATAATCAAGTATTGGGTTGTACTGGCCAGTCGATTGTTGATAAGCAAAACATATACAAAATCCAATTGCGTCCAATAATGGATGCAATTGTTTATTATAATACATGTACCTACTTATATAATAGCACCTCACTTTTAGGACTATTTCCAGCCATGAGTTTGCAAAAATTTAGCAACAAAAAACTTCGCTGACCACTTGCAATTTCGACCAATGCAGCCATCTTCCTCTTCGGACCTCCAGTCATTCAATTTGAAGAAGAAGATTTCATCATACATGCATTTCATTTCAAGAAACAAATTATATAGAGAAACTGTCTTGGTGCTTATGAATGATTATAAAGATGAACAAAGAAATTGACTCGAGTGGGATTTGAACCTGTGACCTCTGGAATGCTGTACCAGTGCTGTACCAGCTGAGCTACCCAGCCCTATGTTGGTGGCTCTTCCCAGTTGTCAATATCTCTGTAATTATTTCAAAAGAGTTTGCATCAAGGCATCAACATTACAAAGATGACTATCTTGGCACATTCATGTTGATTTGTTAAAAGGCTATTTCCTTTTACAACTGTTAACATTCCTGGACTGAAGCATGACCGGTGATTTTTACTTTTTTATAAGTTCATTCCCCTGCAAAATAATTCCACATACAGCTTCAGGCATTTAAGTTGTGTAAGAGACTGAATAGTTGAAAAAAAATTGTACAGGTTTTTTTTTGTGACAGTTTTTACAAGATTTGTTATTTCATTTGTTTTCTGTTGGTGCCAGAAAACGGGGTCTGCTTCAAAAGCTGAATTTTAGTGAAAGAATGAACAAAGGCTAATGTGGTTGGTCTTTTTGGGGTATGCAAAGCTCAGAAGGTATGTTGATTGAGAAACCCACAAAGACAAGTTGATGCTTGTATCTCAAGTTTTTTGAAACATAATTTAACCTTAGTGCTGAGAAATGAAACTCTAGGTTTTAATTTTCCCCTTTATCAAACTAGTTTGTTACAAAGGTGTTTGGGTGTTTACTTTTTGCTAAAACTGGACTTGTTTCTCATTCTGTGTACACACATATTCACAGGTTCCTGGTTACTTCACTAGAACTCAACAAACGATAGACTTCCTTGAAGATGATCTGTCGTCACCGGCCCGTATTGAGATGTCCTACACGGGGCCCCCATCCCACCTCCAGCATTCACGGGACGTCCACCCCTTCCTGGACCGTTTTGGGCCCGACTTTCATCCGCGGGAGAAATTCATGGACCGCAGCCACGATGCCAGTATACCTCCTAGCCTGCTACCCTCGGCCGAGTCTGCCAGGGAGTTGCGTGAAATCGAAGTACGAGAAACAATGCAGAGTCTCCAGTTGCAGGTCAAAGAGACCCTGGCCAAAAAGAGGGACCAGTCAGTGGAGGACCTGTCAAAGTCGGAGCTGCCAACAGACGAGCAGAATACATTAGAATTTTTGGACTCGATAATCAATGAGAGCATGGATATAGACCTTGGCGATGATGAAAACGATGGTAATGATGAGCGTGAGAAGGATGGGAACTCGGAGGCTAATTGGATAATGAGAGACAAGAGCAAGACGCCACTACCTGGACTCATGCACAGCACCGTGCCAGTTTCTCCCCAGGACCAGCCCGATGGCCTTAGCCAGCCCAGCTCCAGGCCGGCCAGCGGCTTCTTCCGCAATAGTATGTACCTTCCAGACACTGATCCGATCCACTCCCCCAGCGGGACCAAGGGGCCTCCGCCACCCACCAAACCCAAGCCGGCCAACCGACTCTCGCGGGTCATCTCTGTGCTGGAGGACTTCCCACCAAGGGATTACCCAGTGGAAGAGGCCACGTCGCCGTCCTTCCCTGTGGAGTCCAATCATGCTGTGGACATACATGTACATGCACTGAGCAGCAAGGAAGAGCGCAGTGGGAGCAAGAACAGCAATAACTCGAGCACGGAAGACATGGGCATCGTCGTTGACGACATCACAAGTGACGAGGGCAGCAGAAACGGGGACACGAACAACCCCTACGACACAAAGTCACGGGTGAAAGGGGTAAGAGCCTTGGTCAGCATGTACAGTGAAGAGGCCAGCTCCCCTACAGAAAAGCCAGAACGGATTGACTTTTCTCCCAAGCGCCCTTTCAGTGGAATACAGTTACCAGTCAGGGACTACATGTTTTTCAACAACAACAACAGCAATGTGGAGAAGGTTGGAGACACAGAGGGTGTGGCAGAGAGGTGTCAGAGGTTTGGAACAATATCCTCGGAAGATTCAGCATTAGGAGACAGCAGCAGGGATCCTGTGGATGATGCAGTCTTGGGAGTCATACATACTGAGCTTCAAAAGCTCAGAATGAAATGAGTGCTCACATTCCCTTCCAAAGGCACATAGTATTACCTGTATATTATCATTATTTATCAATAAGACCAGAATTTTATTACTTTTACCAAAAATTCATATTCTGGGTAGATATTTAAACATATATACACATAGAAATGTACCATACACAGGTTGCATGGCACATATAGGGCTGTATGCCCTTCTACATCAGGAGAGTTTGTGGGTTTTTCAGGATTAGGAGAAGTAAAGACTAGTCAGTTTGACTTTACAGTGGGCTTGGTTCACCTTGAAAATGTACTTTTGGGTTTGTGACTCCATTCAGTGTGGTTGTTTGGGAATGTAGGTAATAAAAATATCTGGGGAGAAGGTCCTGCAAATACCACAATAATATATTCCCATGCACATGTTTGCTTCCATAGGATTGGTGAAGAATTATTCTGGCATATGCACGTACTTAGCAAAAGGAAAACACAGGTTTGTCACCACCTTGGTAAAACACTTAAGGTACATGTAAAGTGTGTTGAATCAACACAGCGAAATTTGCTGTATGTACATGTATGCGGATTCAGCCGTGCAGCTTTTCCCATGGCATACCTTAGGATGTGGGATCACATGCCTTTGCTTCCTGATGAGGGTTCACGCTTCAGTCGTTTTTTGATTAGCTCTTTTGCAGGTAGGCTACCTGTCTTAATTTCTCATGCCCATGATTAGTTTGCATTCTCATTGTCTGTAGTTACTGGTACATGCACTGTGTTTTTGTGTGCATGAAGTGGGTTTTTGCAAACAGAAAGCATATTCACACACAGTCAGAAAATATTTGACCTGTCACCACAAAATGAGCTCAGAACCAGTCAGAATTTTCAAAACTGAGATACTGGTATTTTTTAATTCAGCAGAAAGAGCGCTTTCCAATGGCATGTACATGAAACACTTAGGGTAAAAGTATAAGGTGACAGTGTGGCATTATTCTGGCAGCTTTGCATCTTTGTTCCCAACATTGTTTCAATGTTTAAGACCAGGCACGAATAATACTATTGTCAATCTTGCTAAGAAAATGACATTTTTAAATATGCGATTCTGCAAAATATTTGGAATTAAATAGGAGACGGGTCACTCTTTCCAAATACTACAAAACCCCCAAATTGACCTCCACTTCAATATGACTTTGAACCCTCAAAATAGGAAAGAGCGGGATGTGACTTCCATTTTGTCGTGAAAGGTCACATATTTGTGAAACTCGGAACTTGCAGAGTTTTATAAAAATGACTGCACTTTGTCAATAACTGTTGTTTGGTCAAATGCAAACAGGGTCTTTGTACACTGTTAATGGATTTTTATAGTATCACAATTTGTAAATGATGTCATCTGTCTTCTCCATGATTCATGCACTTTACTCTTGCCATTTGTTCAGCAGTCTCCTACTAGTCTTTCCAAAGTCCTTGTCCTTAAAGCTGACTTTGCTGACATCAGAAAATATTCATTACTGTTCTTGTTAGGAATTATGATTTTTGTGAAATTCCTCAGTCTTACAGTATGTGTGTCAGGAATCCCCTTATAAAGTGCAAAGGTGCCTAATCTATTCATTGACAGCTTTGATGATGCTCATTGGCATTAAATCTCAAAGTTCTGCACCTGCAAGAAAGAAATGAGAGGCTTAGCTTCAGTCTGGAAAGGAGACTCTGAGAATAAGATTAAACACAGAATGCCCCTAAGAAACTAAAACTAACAAGATTGGTCAGATATATGCACCAAAGAGGTTAAACTGCAACACCAGACACTTATAATCTGCTATTTATAATGTTGAAGTTGAACATGCATAAAAAATTTACGTTTGCTTCAGTTGTCCTCTAGACTCTACAGGTGGGTGGTATCAGTGGTTAATCCAGCTTTGTTGTGTACTTTAGTCTTACAGAGTTAAAACACTTGCCCTTGTGGTTTGCAGTATTTTTGATACACAGTGGTACTGATTTATGATAATGGTTTGTCCATTTTTTATTCTGTTGTGTTAGACCATTATTCGTGCATGCATAGTAGTGTAGCAAACTGTATTCCTTATAATCGTGTATTTTTTTTTACTAAATGGAAACTTACCTGTACATGTATTTATGTTATATATGGTGTGTGACACAGACATGGCGATCTATATTTATATTTTCAGCCGGTAAAGGACAAACATGTAATGGTGAGTGCATCCTGAGCAGGGAGATTGCGGTTGCTGGTGTAGTCTGCAACAGCATCAAACTTCAGTAAAGGAGAGATGCAACTGCTCTGTTTGCTGTGGAATGGAAACGATTTGTAATAATCACAGGATTCTGTTTGGAGTCACTCTACTGTTGGTGATGACCAATGTCATCTGGCACTCAGTGTTCAGTATTTCTTGTGAAATTCTGAGAGAGAGAAAAGACTTCGGGGCCAAGAATTTGTGTAGTTTATGCAGTTTGTCATGTCTATGTGGTTTTGCTTTCTGGTAACAAAGGTGTGCTAACTTCTCATGATGGAAGGAGTGACAACAGCAATTTTTTCATAGTTCCATTTTCATTGCCATACTTGATATTTAAAAGCTCGGCTACATTTGTTCAATTGTGTTAAATCATAACTTCACTTTCAGTGTGTCACTAATGGGATCTAGTGATGTTTCCACAGTTGCAACAGGGAATGTGAAAATGCTTAACTCAGGCTTTTCGAAACACACCACTTGTACACTAGTTACACTTTTTTTGCATTGTGTCTGTGTTACGTCAACCAAGTTGATCTAGGTATTAACTGAATGTTCGATTCACAGCTCTGTTTGAGAGTCTGTAATTCCTTCTCTAACTTGAGTTCACAAGTCTCCAGTCAAAAAAATGCCTTTAATTGAAAATTGTCCACTACAAGCACACTCTGTGAGCACAACTATTAGAAACTGTCCACTTTACCATGGCCCAGTAGTAGTTTGTGATGTTAAAAACATGTTAGTGCAGTTAGGACATGTATATGCCAAGAACCGGCTTGTACACGTTCGTCTGCATGCTTTACAACATTAGGAAATTAGTCCCTACCCTGTGCCAGGGATGACATTGATTGATTCCATTATTTGTACAGGCATAGAGGGCACAGATCATGAAAAGAGAAAGTGCACACATTCAGTGACCTTTGATATCCAATGCCATGCAACACAGAGGGTGTTGTGACCTTTTTGTCATTCAAATTCAGTATTAAACTGTACAGGATAAATTGGAAAGTGCACTAATAGTGGTTATTTGATCAGTTGGTTAACCAACCATTTTGATATTCCTTTCAATTTCTTTTTTAATTGTAGTGTGCTGGAACCTGTCACAATGTCAGATACCTGAAACTGCAGGGTCCTTCAGTTATATTAAGTTATTGGAGATCTGGAGTATAATCCTTACACTGAATCTCTTTTGTCTGGTGAATTCTTTTGGTAATGGCAGGTTATGGACCGAGTACTGTTGACTGAAGGACATTTACTGACTGATGCTACAGACTGTAAATATATCGAGATGTTTTCACAAAACACCTACTGTAGTAACACCCAAGCATAAGTGTACCCTCATTCCATGTATTTTCTACATACTGTGCTATATACTGTCTACACGTACATCAAATCTAATAGTATTCAGGTAGATCAATTTAATGCAGATTTTAAAAGTAAACTAACAAAATTGTCAGGGACAAGTTTTAGAGACTTAGCCATCCATACCATGCTTTGTTGGGGGTGATTTTTGTAGTACCATCGTACCATATTGGACTGTTTGGTCGGTGTTTTGCAAGACCGATGGGCACTTTGATCGATTTCATTCAGGGGATAACATTTGCCATTTGAGCCTAGAGGCAAGCGTGGGAACTTCTTTTTCAATCACTGCTGCATACAAATTATGTTTATGTACAGTATGTTGCCAATTTATTATGTATCAAAAGTCAGAGAGTTTGACATTTTGATCCTAGCAGAATCTTTCTGTAGAAATGTAGGAAACAAGACTAAGACCGTGCCAGAATCAACAGGCTACGGCTGTGAGTTACATATCTATGAAGATTGGCGGCAGCCGCTAGTTGGTGGTTTCCGCGGAGGTGCACCTGTTGTGAGCCACAGCCAGGTCATTGGGGAGCAGCCCGAGCCTCTGTTGAATGGATTGTCTCTTCTGGAGGGACTGGAGTCTGAGTCCTTATGCACGAACTTCGTTGCTTGCAGCGCACTCCCCATTTCCGAATTCTCTGGTTCTTATTTTTCAATGTCCTGAGTTTGACTGCAGCTCTGGCACGTACATACGACGTACCCAAGAGCTGATACTGCCCTTGCATTGGTTATAATCAATATTGCATTATTAGGTTTCATTTCGTCCGTTTGCCAACATAGTGTGCACATTTTTTACATGCTTACGTGTAAGTGAGGACTCTATTGTATTCATAATTATTATAGGCACACCGCATGCCAAAAGGGGGACGTTGTATCCATTATCTATCCAAAGAAATCTTTTTGTAAGTCTTACAGAAAAAAAACTTTTATAAATGGTATATATTATTCATTTTCATAGCTATACTTTTTACAGTGTTACTATCAAATATTATACTGCATTCCATATAGTGTCTGTATTTTTTCATTTTCTGCTTTGTAGATTCATTGAGAGCTCTATATTTGGTCTATACAGATTTAGTGAATGTATTTTTAAAATATGTGTATTATTGTATCAATTTAACAGTTTCATAACAACTTTATGTTCGTTAAATGTTCGTGCGGTCGAGGGCGTTTGTGTAGTGATTTTTTCCCGTTTTTCGTGCGTTTCATTTATAAACAATTCTATGGGGACAACGTGCGTACATAGTTTATTTGTCACTGTGCTACTACTAATAGAATATTACATCCATACAGAATAGAATGACAAACCTCAAATGTCTGTCTCTGTATGGGTTTTGCCATTCAGGCACCAATCAGATTAATTTCATAAATAAGTTATCCTTTAATCAGTGATGGATGTGTGAATTAAAGAAGTGGTCTCAAGGAAATATTTAAGCGTATTGCATCTTCATTTCCATCAAGCGCAGTCAGGTGAAACGTGCTTTAGAAATTTTTGAAGACGTTTTGTTCGAACTGTTCAAATATTGTCATCACAATTATGAAATGATTCATGCTTGTGTGAAGGATTGTTTGGAATTGCCAGTACATGTACCTCGTGTTGATTGGATTCTTGGAAAATTTTGGACTCGCGGATTTCTTTTCTCCTGATGTCCTCAATTTCGTCAAGAATAATTCGCGTTTGCCAAACCGACAGTTGAAGGAAATTAGTCACGGTTTTAAATGACCTCTTTTCAGATTATAAACCTATTTTGTGCATGTTTGACCAAAAAAGAGCCAGGGATCATTTTGACATTTTTATATTCTTTTGAAAATCAGACATGCCTTTGTCGCGAAACGTCCATTTTCCTGAGACAGGTCGGCCCAAATCTATACTTTTTCGACTGACATGTTCAGTGCATACGCGCTGGGCCGCCCCGTGTGACTCCATGAACTTCAAAATGAGTGTATTAACAAAACCATATCTCAAACTGTGCTTGCACGTCCAGTTTATTTTTAAGGGGGGGGGCAGGTGACAATGGGGAGAATCCCTCGGCCGTGAAATGGTGAGAAAAAGTCGAGTTCTTTAAAGATTAAGTTACCCTTGATGAACGTTTCCTCCCATTCCGCCTGATCCTGTTTGCAACCAATATTCGCACGTGCGAGCATTAGATGTTTTCCCCCTTTTGCCGCCTTTGTGATTATCTGAGCAGTGTTTTCAGCTCGGCAGTATTTGAAAGTGAGAACTATTTCCTTTCTTTAAAACAATTCGGAGCCAAAGTTTGGAAGTTTTAGAAAAAAATTCTCTTATTCTGTTTGTAAGTTTCCTTAACAATCAGTTTCATTCCCATTTGTATCTGCATTTCGGGAAAAATTATTACAAGAAGTGAGTTGTACTGACATCCACGGCTTGAGCAGGCTTTTTTTGCCTTATGGTAATGAACAGTGAACAAAATTATGCCTTATGGTAATGAACAGTGAACAAAATTATAAATCCCCGACAAAATACTAAGTTCCGTTTTCATCAGCTGTGCTCGAGGCGAGGCGACAAGTAAATAAAAGACGTGTGTGAATGGTATGAAGTTAGACACTTGCACATCCCCTGAAAAAGGTCGGTCCCATTCGCACATCTTTTAGCTCGTGCAAGTACCCTTGAAGGATTAACATTCGATCATTTGGATTTAAAGAAACACTGACTCTACTCTTACACATGTACATGAAAACCGTGACAAGACAGTAATTGGCTTTTTATGTCTTTGCCGTTGACGAAACTGGCCTTTACAGTAAAGTGCTTACTACTCAAGCAGACTGAAATACTTCTAACTTAAGAAAAAAACTACCGTTTAGTACCATCCCGAACAAAGTTCAGACCATGCCGATTTTGAGGTGAATGTTGATTAGATAATTGTGTTATTCTCTTCATGATGACAAACATTTACACTGTATATATCTTCTTCGACAGTTACTTTTTTTGCTAAGCTTTAGGCCCTAAGTTTTCGGCGGGTATCCAATTATGAAAGGTGACCTCTTTTATTGGTTGGTGCTTGATGTAATCAAATCAGTTATCCGATTCCAGGATTTATTTTGTTTTCTGAAAAAAAAATCAAGTTGGTCATGATGTTCGCATTAAGCTTTAACATTATTAATTACCCACTAACTTCAAAAATTGTGAAAATAATGTTCGCATTCAGCCCGAATGCTTTTTTAAAATAAAGCCCTTCATCTTATTATGTAAATACCAACATTTGTAGTTAACGTGAAATGTGAAAAACCAGAATGAATTACCTTTATTGCTCTTTTTCTGTTGTGCGCTTGCTTTTTATGGAGTGTAATGCACCTGTACCCCCTCCGCCCGTAGATTGTCCCCTCCCCCGCCACCACCACAACTAGCCTGCTGCCTGGCCAGCCACGCGCGATGCATGCACGTACATACGCACGATCAAGGAGGCCTCGGGGAGAATATGACACAGCTAAAACTGTTGAGGGCGCTATTTACAAACTTCTCAATCGCAAATTTTGCCGATTACTTCCGATCGGCAGCAGTGCGTGAACAGAAAAAGACAAAAAACGATTCAGCGTGTTATCAGTTTTCTGTGCGACATACTTCATAAATATGAAAAAGAAAAAGTCAAGGTAATGTGAAAAAACCAAGTTCAAAATATAGTCTCAATGTTGACGGTTTTAGGATGGAAAGGTGTTGCATTGCAGCATTCCTACCTCCAAGCATGCTCCAACTCCATGGCACCATGCACTGTGTGATGACTGTCAATTATAATTTCATGACTACCAGTACATACAGATGATGATGGTGTAGACATGGTAAACCAGGCGTGTAGGCCAAGCAGACCTGTCAACATGCCGTAGGCCTACTCCTTCCTGAGGTCGGGCATTAGGCCTACCACACAATAGATAAAAAAAATTGAATGAACTGAAGGTTCATTGCAATACGTTTTAACTGGTTAATGTATTTTGTTGTAGGCCTAATGCTTGACCTCAGGAAGGAGTACGGCAAGGTTGGCAGGTCTGTGTATCTGTACATGTGTATCTGTATCTATCTATCTATCTATCTATCTATCTATCTATCTATCTATCTATCTATCTATCTATCTATCTATCTATCTATCTATCTATCTATCTATCTATCTGTACCTTGCTGTGCAAACGCCCGGTGTGGCTATCCCGCACAGTTGGCGCTACGCAAGGAGTTGCTTTGTGAACATCATACATGTTAAATGCATGGTCACAGTTACTTTGTTGTACATCCATGATGCGCATTGCACGTACATGTACACAGTATTCGAGTTGTGCTATTTGGTTGGACAGTTGTCTTTTTTGATCAAGGAATTCCAAGAATTGATTTGTTTCCTCAGACCAGTTTTTTCAGCATGTTCATTACCAATGTTCTGATGTTCCTGACCATTGTGTGTGTGCATGAAGGAATATCTTATTCCCCCAGAATTTGTGTTGATGAAGTGAATAGTTTGCTGTCATTTGGATTCTTTTTTAGTTTGTCATGGTACTGTATATAAAAAGCCCAGAAAGCACTCATATCAGGATCAATTCAGTATCCAATGCCTTGTGGTAGAGGTGTTGAACTTGAAAAGAAAATCGCACAATGTTAAGACTGGTGTACTCTCAACAATTTATCACGCTTTGTTTTATGCTTAGAGAGGAAGTGGCCACAGAGAGCCCTATAAAGCCAGACTGTGGTGGTTGTGGGGAATATGCACTAGGGCAAGTTGCTGCCACATTGTCCATTCTCAAAGAACATCACCCCACCGTCCAGCCAGGGAAGCTAGAGGACAAGCGAGGGCTTCTGGCCATGTTTGGTCCAATGCCCATGGGATCAGTGAGCAGTGTAGCTTGTGCCCCGGGGGTGGAATGTGCACCTCATGCAGGAAGCGCAGTGATGAGAAAAGGGCTGGAAAAGAGAAAGGCGGCTGAGGGTGAAGACAAGCAGAGCGGACTTAAAGAAAGGTTGGTCACAACTCCTCCTTAACTCCTCAGTGTCTAGTCTCCAAGCACCGTGCTTCCTCTGGACGGAGGGTGGTGCCTTGACCGGTTTTTAGGCAGACAGATCAGTACTCAGAAAGAGCTGATTTAAGGTGGACATATCCATGCCTGAAATCTTGAAGTGTGAAGTCTTCAAATCCACCATCATCGAGTGTTCTACAGTGTACATGTACATGTAATCTTCCTTTTTTCTCTTTTTTTTTTGCAATTCACTGGTGCTGAGATTCGAAATGAGTTTTACATGTAACATGAGGATATGGCATGCTGAATGCTCACAATAGGACAACCAACCGATGAAACTAGAATGGTATGAGCTGGTCCGTGCTGGTCTTGCATGTTGACTCTGACTAGACTGATGGGTCTATGGTGTTGTGTATGATGCTAAAGAAACCAGACTGAATTGGATTGGCTTTCCCTGAGTCTCAGTGAAAACAGGTGGCCTGCATACCGGTATATAACAGTATTACCCATAATTTCTTTTTTTATGTAGCATAATGTTAAGCACTCTGCTGAACTCACGTCTTTTGAGCATTTGGCTGTGCTGAATACTCCCTTTAAGCTTATTTTGCATGTTCTTGCATTAAACATTGCTGAATCCCACCATTCACAAGTGTAATCAAAACTTGATTAACCCTGCTATGCTGAAGTCACTCTTTGGGTCATTTGGTAAACACCTCAAAGAAGCACAGCTGTGTCGTGTTGTGCACTGCACCAACAGTCCCTCCCAGGAATATCAGATTGCACTTTCTTGCTGCCCAACTGTGCTTCACTGTTTCATGTGCATAATTGTGCAGTAAACCAAATGCAGTGGGTCACTTTGTACTTGCAATCTACTGTGTACACACTGAACCTGTGCATGTTTGAGTTCCATATAGAAAATACATGCTCACCAGTGACTGTGGTCATTTGTGCACATTTGTGCTGTTAAAACCAAAGGAGGGTTAATAGAGAAATGTTCAAACTGAAAGCAATATATTTAGCATTGATGGTATCAATCTAACAGTGGAAGGTAATGAAAGGTTTTCTCCCAAAGAGACAGCACATAGCCAACACTGTCCGTATCAAGTGGTATCATGACGTCTAAACAGCCATACTGACTGTCTTCCGTGTGCATGCAATGGGACAGTGGCCTGTCTACCATGGTACATGTAGTTCACGCACTGTGGTACAAAGACAAAGACTAGTGTCTTGTCTTTGTCTCAGTAATGAAGGCTTCTGATCTAAAAAAGAACCCCTGAAAATAGAAAATAGAAAATAAATACACTGAAAGAGATACTGGCTTTTTGTGTTAACCACTTGCCACCGGAGATTCTGGTTTCGGACACATATTCTTTATACGCGTGGCTGAGGTCTCCGAAATCAGACAAAGGGAACTGGGCCTTGTAACAAAAGACTATACTCATAACAAAAGACCAGGCTGCTGGGAATCACTAACATTTTTTCACTGTCAATAGTGGAGATCATCCAGCCTTGTTTTGAAACAGTATACCATGGTTTGGAGCATTCAGTTTGAGCGGATTACCACCGGGGACAAAAGCGCTCCACTACCGCAGCGATGAGCCACACAGTACCGCTGCATGCTAATCTGTCCCCTATTGAAAAGAGGTCAGCAGCATACTGTGCCAGTTTTGTGAACAAACAAAATTACATAACACCACACAATCTGGGCTTTTTTTACAAGGCAGCAGGCCCATACTCCAGCGTCAATAGATGTTGTCTGTCATATTAAAATAAAAACCAGACAGTCCTTCTTGTGGGTGTAAGTGTCCAGTAAATGAAGATAGGAATTTTAAGAATTTTGAAAACAAAAAAATATATAATTAACCCATCCCAATATCATCAACATTGATAAATGCCACCGGCGCGAAGTGGTTAAAGTCTATCATTTTCAACAAAGTTTGAGTAGCATTTCTAATGTTGTTGTTTCAGACACGTGCCATTGTTGGGTCAATTCTATAACCTGGCTCCTGGCCATTTCATTAGCAATTATCTTATTTCACTGTAGCAGCGGAACAGGTGTAGCATGTTGCATGCTGCATGTGATTTCATCAATGCAGTGACTACAGAGAATGCCAAAGACTCCATTACATGCTTCAGTGTTACCTACGAGAGCATTGCACATGACAAAGTGACTTCACCAAGTGGTTCCTGTGCCAGTGAAATAATCAAAAGATAAGATTTGATAAAAATTTTAAAAATGTATGAACACAGTTTCACAAAGTGCATAGATACACGTAACTATGTAAGTTTTATTGGACATTTTTATGTGAAAGGCAACAGTAGAATCCCCCCATAAAAATCGGAGGAGGGGATCACATTGGTGAGTTAGCCACCTCAGATTTGAGCGGGAAAAGGAATTTTAGGCAACTACACGTAGGCATAAGTAGCAACTGAAAAATCTGCGTATACCAAACGACTGCTGTACCAGTCTTTCTGGACCCAAGCATGTTCGTTGCATAACGAACACGACAGGGTCCACGCTAAATGTTCGGTATAGCGGTCGTTCGGTATAACGAAATTAACTGCCGAATGTTTTGTTGCCATGTTGAATAGCGCCTTCTCTTGTCTAACTGAAGTGGGATGTGCCATGAGGAAGTTAGGGTGAACTGGTGCCTAGGTACATGTACATGTATTAAACCTGACCAGTGGGGGACAGAATGGTGTCACACTGCAGCTGCATACCGTAGGCTTTATTTTTATATTAGAGAGGGCGCTGTGCTTATTGAGCAATGACTTCCGTCCAAGGGATAATCCACAGAAAAACATACAAAGCAGTATATGTAGGTCTTTTTGGATATTGAGGTGCCTGCCCAGCCTTTCTCTTGGACACCAGTGAGGTGATGCTGGTACCAGGTACAGACTTCAAAGCCTGCAGACGATCACTTGATAACTGCTACATGTATTCCTGTGTTCAACTGCTGGCAGGGGCATGCATGTTTGATGTTTATGAAGTAATGAACTCCCTGTGTACTATTTCTTTGTGTATACTTCATTATGCACATGTATAACTTGTACGTTTGGCAAAGTTTAGTCATCGGATGTCTGGCTCGTTCATATTTGTGCTAGAGGTGATCATTTAATGAAATAAGCAATCATACAGTAGCCTGTATTGATTCCAATGCAGTTTTGATGCCAAAAGCTGCCTATAAGAAATTACATTGGCCAATGCCAGAAATGAACATTTAGATACACATATTAGTAAGATTTTATACATGTACATCTCAAAATTAGTTGTCATAGTTTTATTGATAGTCTGTTTCAATAGAAGTTAAATACGTTTGTAATTTGATTGGATCTCAAAGCCATAAAGTGCTGCTCAGAAGTTAATAGTGTTTTTTTTCCTTGCTCTGAAAGAGCACTGTTCACCATTGCAGCTTCAGTTACTAATAAATGAGATAAAATATATTTTACATGCACACATATGTTGCCTGTGTCTGTTTTTCTTTATGTCGCCCACCTGCACTCCTACAAGTTCTAGCAAGGTCTTTTTTAAAATTCAATCTAAATGAAGTGGTTTTGCTTTGGACCAAGCAGTTAAAGAGCTGGTAGTTTCGGAAGGTAGGGAGTGTGAGGGGAGAGCAAGAGGGGTGCTTCCACCCCCTCCCCTGAAAAAAAATGGAAAAGAAAAATGGAAGTGGAAAAAGGGGAAGGAAAGAAAATAGAGCAGAAGAAATGGGATGAAAATCACATATTCATTTGAGAGCGCCCTGGAATTGAAGTTCTTTCATTTGTTGATGGTCAATGGTTCATCAATTTACTGCTACTGAGCACTTTGTACCCCTCTGTCCCTGCTGAAAGAGCTTGCCCCTTCCTTTCAACATCCAGGGTTTCAACGCCTGAGGTCATGTCCATAATGTCTCAGTTGAGAAGTGTGGGCATGTAGCACAATTTCCATACTTGGTAAAATTTCGCATTGTGTGTGCTCTTGGTGCAGTGGTGGGCTTTCAGGGGGAGCATTGAAGCAAAACAAAAGGATTAAGAAAGATTTGCTGGATAAATTGGGGCAGTGACGGGGTTGGGGGAAAGTTTCAATGGGTATTTCTACATGTACAGTGTATTTCTGTGTCTGTTCAGCTAACGGGACAGCAGGTGTTGAATCATATTCAAATGAGTTCAGTTGTCTGCCTTACAGAGGTTACTACATTTGGCTTTCACAGAGATCACATTTGGACTAGTCTAAATACAAATGCCCAAATGTCTGAAATATGAAAGATTTGTTATTCATTTTCATTTTGTTTGGTTTTGGTTGTTTTTTTGTAGAAAGAAGAAGCGTCAGTTGCCAGAATCTGCAAATGGAATTGATGAATCAGGCAAGGATGTCAAAACATCCATCTCAGAGAATTTGAAATCTACCAAAGGGGAGCGAGTCCCTCTGAAGGAATGGCTGAGACCAAACCAAGAGGATGCCAAGAGAACCGTGTTTGTCGGCAATCTTCCCATTACCTTTGACAAAAAGGTGAGAAAGCGGCTCAAAGGAGTTGAACTCTGTCAAACGTAACGTACTTACATTGTGTACATGTGCAGTCCTGGGAACAAGTCCGAGTTACCATTCATACGGTTTGTCCTTATACCAAAAAACAGCCTACGGGTTTGTAACGGTGATGATAAACTGCTGAAAGGAGACAATCCTTGTTAGTCTGGACATTCTAGTGACCATTAGAAATAGTATGTGGGTATTTCCAGAAATTAAGGGTCCAAAAGTGTGACATTTCCGTGTCCCTGTTATGTCTGACCTTTGTTATTTGACGTTGAAATATCACTGGAATTGATTTCAAACTATTACTCTTTGTATGGCAGGTAATCTGCATTAATTCATCACTCTTGGAAATTAGAAAATATGCTCTGAACTTACAAAATCATGTCAGATGTGACAGAGACACAGAAAAAAATGGACCCCTGATTTCTGGAATTACCTGTGCGTATGGCACATGCATGTAGCTCGGCAACCTGGGTGGTTGAATCACAGTTTTGTGTGGCTATTTTATACCACAAACTGTGAGCAGTGTCCATTTTACATCGATGTGCTGGTGTGTACCCAGTTTTTTTGAATGACTGTACAAATCGATGATATAACTACCCAGTTGTTTCAGAGCAGCATATGTATCTGACATCTGCACCATTCTAGTGACCCCTACTATATATGCAGAACCTTCGCATATCGTGTTGAGATTTATTCAATGGCTTCATGCACACACAGGTGACTTAAGCATATATGGCAAGGCTAGCACAGGAGGGGAACCCAAGTATTTTACTTTTTTCAAGGTTTATGCAAACATGAATGAGTCCTCTTGGCACAAGTCCCCATCCATCATCTTGACTACCTTGTCAATGAGCTTGACGATGCCCTGTGCCATTAAGTAGTAATTTGACCTTGTGTAAACAGTATGTTGCCATTTCAAAAGGCTGACAGTTATAGCTTAAGACTTATCTTGTGTAAAACCATGAAATATTTTTTGTCTCATACCTTGTTACTTTGTAGAAATTGCAGAAGTTGTTCTGTAAGTTTGGTGAAATCAAGAGCATTCGTTTCCGCTCAGTGGTGAGTTGGTGTGCTGAAACTGCATATAAGCCATCTTTAGAATTGCAAATGTTTGATGTACTTCCTAAGTTAGTTTTAGATGAAACTACAAACTGTGCTACTGGTGGTGCATGTGTGCATTAACTTTGTTTTGCATAATCTATGCAGTTATTTGAAAATGGGAGATCGTTGATCTCAGGTTCACTATTTTTAAATTTTATGATATAGAAATATTTTCAGAAGTACGTGGTAGATGAGCTAATTGAAGACCTACATGTATTCTCTGCAACTTTATTTGTTTGTTGGTTTATTGTTTTTCATTGGTGTTTCCCATAATTCATTCCTCACTAGGCTCCTTCAGATCCAGACCTTCCCAGAAGAGTCATTGCTCAAACGTGAGTGTCATTTTTATACAATTATTTTGAAAGTTCTGAAGGAAAAGTGGTAGTCAGTTGTCAAAAATGATTGAGGCCCAATTTCATTCTGCTTTGTTTCACTGCCTCATGAATTTTACCTGCCATTTTAAAAACAGCACAGGACACAGTGCTAACGGAAACTATGGAAACGTGTTTGTTTATACCCAAATTGTTCACCCTGTATGTCAACTTCCACCCTTTAGGAAACAGTACCACCCTGATCGGAACTCCATGAACAGTTACATTGTATTCCAGAGTGAAGAGGCAGCCAAGAAAGCCCTAAAAAGGTGAGTTTTTCCCCACTGAAATGGGCGATTGTAGATTTCCTCGTGGACTTGATCTTTCATGCCAACCCACGTGCAACCAATGTCAGACCCGCCAACCCACGTGCAACCAATGTCAGACCCGCCAACCCACGTGTAACCAATGTCAGACCCGCCAACCCACGTGTAACCAATGTCAGACCCTCCCAGATGTTAAGATATACCACAGATGTAGTTTTTATTTGGTCACTTTCACTGTGATTTGACACTCAGAGCAGCAACCATACCTCTGTATTACTTTTACTTGTAAAGTTTACCCTACATGTGACCTACATGTAACAAAACACAATGGGTCACAAGTCGCCACTCCCTTTTCTAAGTAAAAGTCTCTTAAAGAATCTTGCATTGTGTTAATCATTTGAAGCCCTGTCCTGTGAAGTTCCATCCGCATAATGACCCTTTTCATCGAGATGCTTAAACTGAGCGATACATAACAGAGCTCAAACAAAATCACTCGTGAAAAATAGCCTCAAGACTCATTTGGTGGGACTACATCCATGTACATGTATCCCACAGAAAAAAGCTACCTAACCGCTTTGTGTTGTCTTGGATAAGTGTTAACACTCTTTCTTGTCATCAGGAATGGGAAGGTCGTGGGTAACAATCACATCCGAGTGGATCTTGCTGCTAACAGCAGAAAGGTAAGCAATCGTCCTGTTCTATTGGAACTGAGTAAGAGGAAATATCTGGAAAAACTCACTTAGTAAAAGTAGGTTTCCGCCAGGCAAGAAGCTGTGCAAGATATTTTCATTGTGGCCAGCTCTCAACTGATGGTCAGTTGGCACTAAACCTTGCCAAGTAGTACATTTAGTTTCTTCTGAAGGCTCTCAGTACAGAAGCAAGTCAAGCAAATTCACCTGCTAAGCAAATGTAGTTCAACAGCATCCACAGGCCATATGTCCAAAGAGACGATTTGTTTGGTATCCTATTTTTGAAGAGCGATTCTTTCACTGGGCTCAGTAAGTTTGTACGCTTGGCAGAATGGGTTGAGCTGTAGCATGACAGAAAGTTTTAACAAAAGTCAGTGTGAAATTGGCGGCTTGAGAAAGGTTATTTTGCCGTTATGTGCTTTTATTTAAATAAGTCTCTGATTCGTTATAAGGAAGTCTCAGAAAATATTTCACAGTTGTTCATTCAACGGGAACCCACATTTTCTCACAAAGTCTACCAGTCACCTAATAAAGCATTTGTGATTTGCCTTCTAGGACGCATACCCAAGATTTGTTCACAGCGTTGGGCCACGACTTACTCCTTTATTTGCTACAAATATGAAGTCAAATTCAGTTAAATTCAGCAGGTGGAAGAAACCATTTCAGTCAAGATTGAAGCAGACATACTGTGTTTTTTTTTCTCCCTGTTCACTTCACCCTGCAGCATGACACGAAGCATTCAGTGTTCCTAGGCAATCTTCCCTTTGATGTCAGTGATGATGTCATCAGAAAGCATTTTGACGAGTGTGGGAGAGTTGAAAATGTCCGAGTCATACGGGATGGGAAGACTGGACTAGGCAAAGGGTTTGGTTACCTGCTGTTTGCTGTGAGTAGCACTGTTGTTGATTTGTATTAGCCCAATTAGACCATTTTATAATTATCCAGTGGGACACTTTTAGAGACCTTCAGACAGCAAGCATACCAGTCCTATGTGACCAGTCCGCTATTGTTTGTGTCAGTTTGAGCACGTGCACAATACATTAGTTCACCTTTGTCACAACCAAAAGTTGACTGGTCATGCAGGACCGTTGTAGTTGTCACCACGAAGCATCCCAAAAGTATCACACAGCAAACTTATTTTGGAGCAAAAAGCATTACTTAGAACAAACATGATGATATCTCGTACAAAATGAAATGATTCTACCTAACTTTGAAAAAAAAACAAGGCTGTGAATCGTCAAATCTTTGATTTCAGAGCAAAAACTCAATGAGGAATTTCAAGTATGGTCCGAGGGGGCATGGACATGCAAGAGTGACCGATTTGTACTAGTCTATTTCATAGCACTCCTCTGTCCAAAATGCAAAACAAAAAAAGGAAGTTTTCTAAGTTTTATAACAGAACTATTTTAATCCTACCAATAACTCATAAGCAATTCAACAAAAAATTCAACAATTCAAGGAATGCTTGTAGTTTCCCTAGATTCGGTTTTTCAGTCGCTGTTCACCATTCTCATCATGTGAGGGCGCTGTAACCAGTCGAAATCTTGAGTTTACTCTGGTAATTACACACTAACAATGTCTTGGTGTGCATCCAGTTTATGCACATGCAAAGTTGCAAATTTCATGCACTAGCCTACTTTGATGAACCCCACATGACCAGAACAAGGAACCAGCAAGAGAGGTGTGTTGCAATGTTTTTGATGTCCATTTCTGACCCCAGGAGGACGTGTCAGTTGAATTTGCACTCAAGCTGAATGGGAGCCGGATGGCAGGGCGTGACATACGTGTCCAGAGAGCAACCAAGAAAAAACAGATATCCTTTGTAGACACTGGAGCATGAGAGGGGGGAGTGGGTGTGTTCAAGAGAAATAGTATGTCATACCTATTGTCATCATGAGGAATTAGAGGCAAACATTGTCAGAAGCTGAAATTGAATATACAAATATATATTTGGTCTGGTCTCTCTGCAAGTTAAATCCAGTGAGTAATAATCTACACTTTTTCCTCTACTGAGATTGAGAGTCTCTCCCAGATGTTTTACTGACTGCACTCAAAAGTTTGCCATGGCTATGTACAAAGCATGTAAATTACAGCCAAAATGCTTGTGCTCAGCTGAGGGAGCCCATTCGTTCTGTGAGGACAAGGCTACGTGTATATAAAAACCTGTATTTCAGGAAAAAGCATGTGTCCTTATGATGAAGCCCTTTGGTTAAGGTACAGTGGCATTGTCATTAAGTGCTGTTCATGAGCAAGACATTTGACTACAACTGCTTTACCAGCCAGCATGCAGGAAATGGATACATGTGCACCTGTTTGTTCAAGTGGTGTACATGTATTGGGCACTGAAGAGTCTCTTCTCACAGTTGTTTTGTATCACAATAAACATCGTTAAACCCCTGTAGATTGTAGATAATAGTTCAAACATTTTTAGCCATTTACAAAAGTTTCCTTTAACAGCGATGAACAGCGCTGTTAATGCCATGAAAAGGCTACAGATGAAAGAGGCTATACAATCCAAGAGAAATGGCGGCGTTAAAGGTCGGGCCACGCCAGCTCGGATCAAGAAGAAACAGGGAACACCCCGGAGGTCCAAGTCAGGGCAGATAAGGACAAAGGGCAAGGGTCCAATGAAGAAATCAAGAACAGGCACCAGGCACGAGAAGCTGATGAAAGGCAGAAGGAAAAAAGCCAGAAAATGATGGAGACGATATGCATCCAGCCAGAATAGGTAGAACTGTCTGCTCAGTCGGTGATGGTTCTATGTAGTCCCTCAAAAGTCTATTTCCAGATTTACATGTAATGTCTGCATTTTTCCATACTCATTCACTATTTCGTCTTAATGAATGATTCTTTTACAAGAGCTAAAGAAACAATTTTGTGTATTTGTGTACCATACAGTGAAGCCAGTCCACAAAAGAAATTGCTTTTTATTGAATTCATCCAGGCTCAGTCTAAATCTTCCCTCTAATGGTGCAACAGAACTGTAACACTAAAATAACGTTCATGCATGAAAACACCACTTGTAAATCTATTTTCAAGGGTAAGACAGAGGGTAAAGACAATGCTGCATAGGGGTTGTAGCGACAATAAAATGCCAACTTTGAAAGGCTTTTACTGGCTAGGGCATGCATTCTCTCCTGTACGGCTGTGATGTGAATAAACCGTGAGCATTTTTTGTTTCATCATAGCATATAAATTATCCCTTTGCATTGTTTGTTTTTCTCATTAAGTGTAAAAAAGGGCATTATTCTATTTAAAGTCTCTTAAAAAACACAAGAAATTGGGAGCCCAAAATCGTGAAATGTGGAAACCCTGAGAAATCACACCCCTACTTTTTACATTTGCTTGAAAATATTATCAAAATTGTTTTTTTTCCGTCTTATGTATGTCTTCAGTTATGAGCGCGCAGGTTACCATAGCCACAACTGTTTTAGTACTGGTAGCCATGTGTATCTTCACCAAACCCTGATTTTGAAGAGAAAAAATGGAGTGGAAACCTGACAGCCATTTTTTTATCAGTCAAGGCAAGATGCTTCTTTTATTTACCAGAAAAAGTATACAACACATTCTAAATAATCAGAAAATGCCCCGTCATGATTTTGTCTGTAAACTTTTTACAGTTCGGAATGGAACCACAACTACACTTACTGACTATAAAACCTACATCAAAATGCACACATTTTCTTTAATGAAAAGACATCCTTTGTTTTATTCTTAAACTGTGACTATTCTCAAATTTAACTAATGCTAGTACCTCCACATTCCATTCCAAGGAAAACCCTTGATTCATTATGAAATAACCAGGAAGTAGTTAATATGCATTCAACTGAAAAGATGGTTTTAGGTGGGCCTAATGCAGCACAGGTAGTGTTTTGGGACTAAATGGTTGACTTTTTAATTAATTTGATATTTTTCGTGTGCTTGTGTCAAGTTACATTTATCTACTTGGACCCTCAACCAATACGTGAAATTTTCCAAAATCAGAGTGAAATCTCTCATTCTACATTAAGAAAAAGAAATCTTTGTCTCAATTCTGGTATCCTTTCTTGATCACGAAATGTAAATCAACCACCAACCAAGATTGTGAGTGTCATTCCAATTCCTACAGGGCATCCCAATGAACCAAAGGAGAACTCATAGCTTCATCCTTACACAGGATTCATTGTTACATTGAGCAAGTTCTTGACAAACTAATATTTGTTGGCACCGTGGTCACAATAGTGATGGAAACGTTCCATTGACTTCCTACTACTCTACTTGTACATGCAAACTTCTGTCCAGATGATATTAGTAGTTTATCACTAAACAAGGCAGTTAAAATGTCAAATACTGTACACACTTATGAATGATACTGACACAAACAACCTTGAAAATTTTTCTCAAAGGTGGCTTCCAACCAGTGTGTAAAAGTCACTTAAATAAAAACCATATGTACACAATTTCATGACTATTTCATTTCTGTCTTCCCTTCTTTTACACCAGTATTTTTACTTCTCGATAAAAACGATATCCTTTAATACCCTTTCTCAGAAAGTTTTGTTTCAAAAGATTTTTTTTTCCAATTAAAATAGACTCTTGACCATGTCTTTCCGAAAACTTGAAGACAGTTAATGTAAGTTGGCAAAGAAATGGAAGCAAGATTCAGATATGGACGGTCAAGAGGACGTACTTCTTGCAATTACATTGCTACAAAAAGGAAATGTAACAATTCATGGTGTTTCACCAAAAAATGCCAGTTCATTTTGTGGTGGACTGAAATCACATGCACCAGTTACTTTTGGAATGATTTCAATGATTCACTTGAAACAAACATACATATTTTAAACAGGGCATTTCTGCAAAGCTGAGTAAAGCTTTGCCGTTTTGGGAGAGGGGTTGTGAATACTCGCCTGCCCATAGAAAATTGTTGCAACTGCAAATTTTCTGCACTTGGGGTGCAGCTTTCTAAAATCCTGATGGAGAAAAACGGGGCGTTGCCATGCTTCCAAAAGTAATTTTTCATCTTTCTATTAATGCAGTGAATACACTTACAGCACTTCAGATAGGTTGCTGGCTACTTCTACTCCAACACTCTGCAGTACTGGAAACAGGAACCAGACCAGTCTGTGAAGAACGGCTCTTGGGGCCTGTTTGTCTCATACAGATCTGGATCTCAATCAGTAGTCCTAACTCCCCAGCAACGGTCTGGAGACAGGTTCTACTGTCAGTGTACCAATGACGGATTACTGCTTGAGATCTGGATCCATAAGAAGCCAACAGGCCCTTGGCCATTATTTCCCTTATAAAGAATCTTCCATGGCTATGAATATATCCCCAAAAGGGAAAGGAATATCTATGCAGAGTAAACATGGGATTCAATTAAAAAAAAACAAACAAACAAACAAAAGAGAAAATGGTAACCCCCCAAATAAATTGACGCTGAGCTCGAACCTGGTACCTTGTGCACAGAAACCCGAAGTGTGCCATCAAAGCAGGTTCCTGGTTTTGTGGCATCTAAACACCTTTCATAGAGTGTGCAATACCACAACTACTGGAATTTGAATATTGCCTTACATTAACTGTAACTCCAGCTGCGACAATTTCTGACATGTACATGTATTCATCAACCGCACCACTGGCTGTTGACAATGCTCAATCACGGTTGCTGCCTAATGAACAAGTTGTGCATTTTCTTTTCTCTCCAGCATATGAAAAACGCACCTCCAGACTAGGTCAAAAGACAACTGTTTGCAGCACACTGTCGGTACTCTGTTTTTAAACACATGCAGTCCTGTCTCTTTGTCCACTCATGAAATTTATCAAACAAAATTCAAATCACACAACTTGATCTTCCCTCCCACCCCCCAAAAAACAAGAAAAAAGATGATGTCAAGAGTGTGAATAACTGGGCTTTGCTGTTGAAGATGAATACTTCCTTACTCAGAAAACTGAGGTGTAACGTGTCTGGATGCAAACACATTAAACAGTACAGGTAGCCACAATGGATTTCATGTAGGACCAAGCAATTTTTTTTTAACACTTGTCTGCACCACGAAGCAAACTGGGGGCTACCATGTTCATCTATTGTGAGAAACTCCAGATGTGCACTCTAGTTCATCGGGGTCCACACTTACAAAATAATGCACACTTTCCATGATTTGCACGTTACCAATTTCAACTGGAGTGAACTTCAGGAACAGTAACCTTCAAAACCTATTTTCGTTACCCTAACAGTCCCAAATCCTCTAATTTCAATATGATTTTACATACACCCTAGGGGGTTAGGGTTAATGTGATGGAAGTGCCTCCCCCCATTCCTGCAAACTTTTGCTATCCCCTTCAGCCCATTTATTCCATCCCCTGCTTGTCAGCGTTAAAACTGCAAAACCTCCATTCGTGAATTTTTCAAAGAGTATTCCTGAGCTGATTCATCAACTTCCTGATATGACAATACCCATGCTTATCTGAGATACACTATTTAAACACGTCTCTGGCGTCCAGCGTTAGTTGGACACAGCCGTGCCTTCGCCATTACACGTACTGGATTCTTAGTAAACTATGATGTGATGCAGCAATCTCTAGCTTCCGCGTACAGGCAACACCAGCTACATTTAGATGCTGGATACTTGCACAGAAAAACCAAGGACAAACCAAAGACTATGTACAAATGGGATAGCGAGGTCAAGCACCGCAGCGTATCCTAAATTGTTCCTCGGCACTCTTGAAACTCCCAATAATGATTTTCCCCTCCAGACTTAAAAAACAGTCCCCTTCAACACTTAGGCATCCAGCGCATCACACGGTCAAAAAACTACATTTTGTGGATATCAATTTCTACCCTTGTCCAAATGTTTGATGTCCAGGAAATAGAAATCCAGTGATAATGATTGAGGGCCTGCATACAGTGAACCTCAACCCACATACCTGTGTTAAACCAAAATGCCATCACTAACTGTGTATTGGTTTTGTTAAAAAATGTTGGTGTCAACGTTTCATCAAGGCTTTGTCTCATCGACACAATATGCAATGATAAAACTACAATACTCCATCTGATATACACAAATATGCAAAAACAGCTTTCGGTGATTATTGCGAATGCTTTAATTCCATTCAGAGTTTTCCCCTCATAAAAAAAATCTCTCTCAATCTACTCCGGTATCCAGAAGACAATTATTCTCTTGGCAATAAAAGGAGAGACATAAATAAGAAATCTGTGACCAGTTTTTGGCACGAGGGATTATTTTACAAAGAGATAAGTGTAGTTAAAAAGTTAAGGGGGGGAAACGGAAAAAATGGAATTGACGTCTACGTGCTGTCCGCTGCCTTCTTTTCAGAAGCATGTTTCTGTGCAGCCAGTGCTGCTGCTGCTGCTGCTGCTGCTGCTGCTGTACAAAGAAATAAGAGCCAAAAAAAAAAAAAACCTCATAAATGATAAGATGTCAGGTCTGCCATTTACATCCAATCTGGGCTTACGTCAAAGGATCAAGTTAACGTTGAGGCTTGGGCAGATATTCCAGTTTTTGGACCTGCTTGGACATACTCCTGATACTTGTGACTTGGACTTGACTAGAACAAAGCTTGACATATGTAACTGATTCTGACTGTCATTTTGCCCCTGGTAGTAAAAAATACGGACATGAATGTTACTGGCAAACACCTACTGAGCACCCCATTCTTTGTGCACTCCCACGCACATGCTTTCCTTTCAAGGGTTGTGGCAGTTTGTGCTCATTCTGTTGAAAACTTCTCAAACACAAGCATGAACCAGAACGTGAAGGTACAGTATTCTTCACTTGCTTTCATGAGTAAGTCTCACAAGGCCACTTCCACTTCCCACGTAGATAACCCTTTAAACATAAAAAAATTTGTTTGGTAGCCATTGGCTCTTAATGGGACACCAGCACTTTAATGAAAGTTTAGTAATCATGTGCGCTGAATATTCATGAACATACATGTACGTACACACATATACTATAAATACCCTATGTTTACATGTACATCGTCCATCCATGCCGCAGAATCATGACCCGGCGCGGTGCGGCATACATGTGTACGTGCCCCACATAACTTGCATGTATGTATAAGAGCGCCGATGAAGTCAATCCACGAAATCAGGGTTCACTCTGAGGGGTTCAGCTATGGACATTCAAAAGTCCGTAGTTTCAGCATGTCGGGCGACACCCTGCTGCATGATATTTCCAACACTCTCAATCACAGCGACACCCTTTAATTCCGGCATGAACTCCGTTTCAGGCTTCAGTTACGTGGTTTGCAAAATGGCCCTGGTGTCCGTATAGAGTGCATTAACAACGTATCTTTAGAAAGGAAACCAGCCAACAAGTGCGTTTGATTGGGACACATGTACAGTATCGTATATGTACATGTACAACACACACGGTAAGCTTTTAATTCACGAAGCGTTTTGCACTGCTATTTCTACTTTTCTGGAACGAATTTGGAGTACATAATCATTGCTTTTTGATTTTAAGCATACTCAAATATCAAAAGTGTTCAAGTACATTTTGAATGCATTTTTTAAGCAATCTTAAGTCCCAAATGGCGACTGTAAGGTGAAAATACGATCGCATTAGCAAAAATTTGGTCGCATTTGCGAATGATTTAGGCGCTATTTAAAGTGTTGTGTGTACACCTTTTAGTGACCTGACTCACCTTCCCTTTCTTTTCGTCGGAATTTTTTCCTCCGTCGGTCGATGGTGGCCACCTCTTGCTTGAGTTGCATGTAGATCTTACGGAGCTCGTTCAACTGCCTCTGGATCAGTGCTATCCTCTCCTCGGGATCTTTGATGTGGCTCACATCTACGCATTAGAAATACCACAAGAAATTATACAGAGTGTCTGGAGAAGCATCTGATGAAGTACAGACTTCTACCATGACACACTTTACGAGGAAAACAGATGTCTCTGTATCAGTGCCGCCAGCATCCATTCCACACTGTCAACCAAACTACACGAATGGTACAAACTGTGCACACAGCAACAGGATAACAAGTGAGTTATCACAGCAGTCTGAAATGCTAACATGCATTCCACAGCATATAGGCTTTAATACAGACACAAAAGGGGGCTGTAAACTACACAGCGAGATCAACCTTAAAATTTACATTCTTGACGTGGTTGGAATGATCGTTAGAAAAATTTTTGAAAAGCTGAAAAAAAAAAATGAATGTAAACATTGCTTATTCTGGAGATAATGGTAATTCGTTTTGAGGACTTACTGGTTACTTTACTCTTTTAACATAGCCACATGTATAGAACAACATGAACACTGTCAACAGATGCATCTAGTACCCTATGAATCTATGTCTGGAACATGTAGATGTACATGGATACTGACTGAGAGAGAGATATACACACCTATTAAGAAGTTCCACTTGCGTTCTATAGGTGGCCCTTCTACCTTGCTGGTGCCGCCACTACTGCTGACCTTCGGAAGTGTTTCCGTTGACCTCTTCTCCGGGTCTCGTCTCTCTGCTCTGTGGCTAGTGTGGTGATGTTTTGCGTCTGACTGGGTTTCATCTGTGTCGCTGCTGCTGTTGCGGGGTTGGTCCCTGGTGGACGACCTACGCCGTTCAGCGACCGAAGCGGAGATCGAGGACTGACGTCGGCTGCGCTTGCGAGACCGCTTGTGCGTATTCTCTGACTCGGAGGTGTGCCGTTTTCGCTTCTTGGGAGATGCAGTGTCTGCTGCTGAATCGATCTTTACAGTTCTTGTGTCTGTAGCTGCTGACATGGCAGGGCCGTGGCCCACGCCAACCTCAGCACCACTGCTGGAACTGCTGGCATCAAGATTGGGGGAATGCCGTCGGACCGCTTGGCTGGACTCCCCGAGGCTACTCACCTCAATAAGGGCATCACTGTCGGACTTGCTACTGATGTGCTCGTCGTCTGCTTCTGGGTGGAGGCCCTTGGTGACATCGTGGCCCGCTGGCGAGGACGGCGCAGCAGGGGAGTTCTCTGGTGAAGTTGGTGGGGTGGACAGCAGAAGTTTGCCCTTACAATTAAAAGCTGGCTTCAATGGAACAGAGCTGCTGCTGCTCGGCTCAGAGGTGGCTGGGAATTTCTCAACATTCTCAGAGTCCATCGACTTATCCTTGGAACTTGCTTCTTGTTTGCTGTCAGATTTGACAGCCTCTACTTTCTTACTGTGCTTCGTGTCGGATTCTTTCCTCTTCTTTTCTGGGGGTTCAGCAGGAGTTTCATCCTTGTCCGCCTCCTCTTTTACTTTCACCTTGCCCTCAAGACTCTTGCGACTGGAACGCTTCCTTCCCTTCCTCTTCTTGCTGTCTTCTTCCACCTCGGGCTTGACAGTCACTGCCTTCTCCTGGACTACCTCCTGCTGCTCCTTCCTGTCCTTCTCTTGCTCCTTCTCCTTGGCAGCTTCGGCTTTTGCCTGCGACTTCTTTCCCGACTCTTTCCTCCCTTTGGTCTCTTTCTTGGCATCCCCTGAGCTCTGACGAGACTGCTCCTTCTTGGCTTTGCTCTCCTTCTTGGACTTGCTCTTACCTTCCTTCTTTGAGTCTTTCCTCTCCTTCTTCTCTTTCTTCTTGGAGGTTTCCTCTGCTTTTACCGGAGGCTCATCTTGTAGAGTCAGATCCGGTGGCTTCTCCTCTGGTAAAACCTGTATCTTCTCTTGCTCCATCTCTCGATCCCCCTTTCCTTTCTCTTCTTTCTCTCCTTCCTTTACTCTTTCCTCTGAAGAATCACTCACATCAGCATCTCTGGGCTTCTTAGCTGCCTCTTCCTTGGAAACTACCTCCTCCTCTTCTTTCTCCTTCTTTGTCTCCTTCAGGTCCAGATTGTCTTCCTTCAGCTTCTCCAGGGCAATTTCTGGCTGGGGCTCTGGCTCTTCGGAATCCTTCTTGACCTTCTCTTCCTCGTTGACACTCTCTGGGCTGTGCTTGGTTTCTGGGGGCAGGGATTCACTCTCCTGTGAACTACTTCCTTCCACTTCCTCAGTCTCACTGTCAGAAGCTGCAGAGAAAATTGACGAATTGTTGATAGATACTTCATATTACGTTAACGTTATGCTTTCCTGCGCAAAGGTGATTACAGAGATAGGATGAAAAGGAATGGGAAAAAAACCAGCACAAAAATGACAACCTGACAAATGTTACAACACTTACTATCCCGCTCGCTTCTAGAGATACTTTCAGAGTATCCAGAACTTCTCCTTGGCCTAGGTTTGTCTGCAAGGAAAAGCAAATGCAAGAAATTCATTTGTAATTCACTCTGAGGGAACACTTTCTCCAAATCTGAACATTTTTATTTAACTTAAAATCTCCGGAGGAGAAGCAAACTTCTGAGTTTAAGTAGTTATCACAAACAAAACTATTCGTGTGGACATGACCTACCTGGAAGACCAGAAGCAAAGGGTGATTCTGACAAGCTCTTCCTGTCCGATCTCCTGGCGCGAGTAGGATAAGACCTGCTCAGAACCGGTGACTTGCCGGCACTGCCTTCCTGCGGGGAGGTGGACCTGGTTGGGGTCCCGGTGGCAACTGTGGGGGTAGTGTTGGCCGAGGAGCTGGTCACCGGAGTGGGTGTTTGCGTCTTGGATGCCGAGGGCCGGCCTCTCTTTCCCGAACTCTTCCCCTGGGTCTTTTCTTTCTCTGCCTTCTCTTCTGCTGCCTTCCTCAGCTCTTTCTCCTTCTCCCGCTCCTTGTCCAGCTTCTTCTGCTTCGCTTCCTGCTCCGCCCTCTCCCGTTCCTCCCTCTCCTTCTCCTCTTTCTCCTTTTTTTCCCTTTCCTTTTTCTCCTTTTCTTTCCGCTCTCTTTCCCTCTGCTCCTTCTCCTGGGCCTTTTCGTGCTCCCGTCTGGCCTTTTCCCTCTCCTCTTTCTCCTTGCGTTCCCGCTCAGCTTCCATCTCTTTCTCCTTCCGCTCCTTCTCCCGCTCCTTCTGTTGCCTCTCTCGTTTCTTCTCTGCCCATCCCAGGATGCGGTCAGCCGTGATGACCTCATCAAAGCGGACATTCCAGCCCATGTAATGAATAGTGTACACCACACGTCCGTCCTCAATTTCATAATCGACAATCTGTAGACAACACATAAAAGATGGTCAGGGTCTATCAGACATTTCTCAACTGCAATCATGTTGGACGCTCTGGTACTTTTTGAGGGTAAAAATACTGATCAGTTTGTTTAATTGTAAATCATTTACATCAGCCTGTAATGGTGCAGCTATGACAAACAGGTCACATCTTACTGGAAAAGTAGAAGCTACCACACTCCAAATCATTCACTACACAGTTTGTTCCTGTGCAAATACATTCTTGAAGTATAAATAATCATGGGCATGGAGGTATTATGCAATTGGAGCAAAACTCATCACAGGGAAGATCCCTCAATACCAAAAAGTATTCACTGAATGATATTGCTCTTTTGTAAATACATTTTTGAAGTACAATAATCACGACTTAGAAATGTTAGGCTATTTGAGCTGAGCTCCTTAGAGATGCAGGTGTTCATACCTTTGCCTCGTATATCTTCTGCGTTCTGCCTCGGCCATACTGTACTTTGATCTTCTCCCCAATCTCAAAGTCAGCCTGGATCGAAGGGTCAGGGTCTTGTCTGAAAGCGTGAACAGAAAAATTATGGGACGGTCAGTCTTAACAGCCAAGTGACTACTTGTAGTGCTTCTCATTGGTGTGCTGGTATTGTCAGAAAAGCTTTTCCAGTCCATTCCTATTCCCTGTGATTTATGTGAATACTGTTATTTCCCAGGAAAGTTGATATCAATGTGAACTCTCATTAAACTGAGATAAATGTGGCTGTTTTTAAATCACAATATTGTGAACTTTTTTATAAATAATATCCCAGAGAATTGCAGATCATTAATTCAAATGCCATTAAAAAGGAAGGAAACTGTCTTTAGTCATGGAGTTCTGAAAACTTTCCCCAGTTCTTGTAAACTGCGTATTTTGCAAGATCCAAGCAGCCCCTTCTGTCAAGGGTCCTACATCAAGCAGTACACGCTGGGCTGTACTTTTCTTAACCTTGCAAAATCTCTTCAAACCTCGCAGCGGGTTTGGAAGGATCTGCCTCCAGTCACCTACTTTTGCGCAGGCGTGTCATTTCCTGAGTCATCATCCTCTTCCTTGTCGCCACTGGGTCCCTCCAGTGTCCGTGGGTCCCGTCGCCTCTTGGCGTCCTTCTCTTTCTCCTTGAGCCGTCTCTGTCTCTGCTGCTCTGCCTCCTTGTCCTCCTTCTTGCCGTCCTTCTTCTCCTTGGCGGCTTTCTCCTTGTCCTTCTTCTCCTTCTCCTGCCGGATCTTTTCCTTCTTTTCCTCCTCGGCCTTTTCCCGCTTCTCCTTCTCTAACCTTTCCTTCTCCTTCTGTTTCTTCTCCTCCTCCTTGCGCTCCTTCTCTCTCGTCTTGACGTCCTTCTTGTCTGGCGTTTCCTTTTCAGTTTTGCTTTCGGACTTCTTGTTGCCCTGGTAAACAAGCAAACAAAACAACTAATTAATAAGTTTTAATAGGCTTATAACAGTCGGTGTCACAGAAAGTGACAGAAAATTTAAGAAATTTAAGAGCGCTTTCCGTCACTGTTACCATACTTTATCTACCTTTCTTGAAAGCACTCTCTTGAAATTATCTGCAAGTTTGTGAACAGTAATGAAATTTGTGAGACCATTCCTTACAACAGTCTTAGCCTAAGTGTTCATCTAGAGCATTAATGCCGACTGTCTGAAATACAAGTGCAAGATAGGAAAACTTGAACCATGCACCACAGGTATTTTCTCTGTGGCCCTTGATCGTCATGTCGACATCTCATACATAAATGTGTGTTTTGGTGTCTGGGGGTGAGGTGGATGGGTGTAGCGAGCATGGGCCGTTTTCCAATACTCAACTTCGGCTTCGTCTCAGGCTTCAACTTTTTTTACTAGCTCAGTAATCAGTCTAATAGTGCCACAGAACATAAAACAAGATGCAAGAAAGCCAAAAATTACAGTAATCCAATATAATTAAACGCTTCAGGCCCACAATCGGGGATTGGTTTTGGGAAAGAAGCCCGAGACGGAGACAAAGTTGAGTATTGGAAAAGGGCCATAGTGGGAGAAAGGAGGTGGACAAAGGGAGGTAGGGCAGAGATCTCACCTTCTTCTTTGATCTGGGTGATGTGATCAATGGCTCCTCCTCGCTCTCCGACTCCTCCTGTGCCTTTTTGGATGGGGGTGGGGTCTTTTCGATCTTTGTCAGGATAGGCAGAGATGGCATGGACCAGTGTTCATTGTAGGAGGACCGGCGTCGCGTCCTGGGCAACGAGATGCCGGGACCCAGCTTGCGGTTGTACTCTTCAAACGCGTATAGGTATCTGGTGGGAAAGAGGTTGAAATGTCATTACATACATATAAATGAAGTTGGTATTATAAACCTGGGTTGCTCAACTGCTGGAACCTGTCTCAATATCAGAGGTTTTGTTCTCATGACAAATAGAATTGTAATTTATAGGAACTAAAGACCACATGCGTTTGTTAACATGAAAACTGTCTGGCATCTCGATGTATAACATGGAAAAGGTATGCAACTGATCAATTTTAATTCACAGATAATGAAACTGGATTGATTTTGGCACTGTGACAACCAGCCCAGTGACACTGACTTTGGTGACGTGGTTTACTATGGAAGACTTATTGATTCAGTATTCTCATCTGCAAGTAAGCCTGCAAACTATTTGAAACACACTAATTCAATTGACTAATCAAAGGTCGTGGCTTTAAATGCATTGTCACAACTGCTAAAAATTGATGGGAAAACCCACTGACTGACACAGAGAGTTTTGAACTTGTTGGTCACAAACCAGGGAGATCCGCATGACGGAAGTGGCAATGTACAGCCAGCGTCAAGTGAAAGTCAGCTGTGTTTTCAACTAAAACATGAAGCGCTAACATTTTCCCCTTCAAAACTGCGCTGGGCTGTGTTCTACAACATCAACACAAACGACAGTTTGTTCTGCAAACTGGATTTGTTTATTGTCACAGTATGTGAAACACGAAGGCAGAGGAGCCAAATTCACTGGAAGGGTCTGTATAAATGGACGACAACGGCCAGTAAGTTGTCCTTGACCTACTTGTTATAGGCAGCTTTGATGTTGTAGGGCTGGGAGGTGGTGACAGCAGGGATGCCCATCTTGGTGGCGATGTGGCGCCACTTCTGCTTGTCGGTCACCTTGCGGCAACCCCCAAAGTCCTGGACCAACTTGTAGAGCTTGTAGAGGTTCAGGTCGCGGAAGCCCAAAACGGGCGGCTTGTTGATTGGTGTGCCTAGGATACACGAAGCATTACAAATTGAACGCATAAATATTTATGAATGTTTATGAGTGCAAAGGTAGGAACAATTTCTTGAGGTGACAGGTGGAATGGAACATTAGTTATCAAATGAAATTATTCTTCCAATTGCACAAAAGAATAACTTTCATAATTAGTATTGCACAACACCTGAAATATTGCCACTGGCATGAGTTGGCTAAGGTTAATGAATCTATGAACTGTTCTCTTTTAATACTCTGAAAACAAGACCTCTTGAAAGATGACCAAACTTTCACACAACTGTAGCAAGATTGCGCGATGCATTTGTGGTGTTTCAACTGTAACAAGTGATGTAAGGGCAGAATATTTCCACACCATACAGAATAGTGGTGGCATATCGCTGTGTCAAAGAATACAGTAATGAAGGTTTCCAACAGAGCCATTGATAAGTCAAAAACAATCACAAGGCCCATGGACAGCATCAACACCAGTCAATACTTGGTTTGCCCTCCAACAACAATTAATAAAGCTCTGTATTCTCAGGGCTTTCTGAGCATTTTTTGGAAAGGATTTTTTTTTCAAGCTTCCTTTGGTGAGATTAGAACCCATAACTTTCTGCTCACTAGAGCTCGACGTCCAAGCCCGTCCAGGTCAACTGGTCGAATCACATCAGATACTGCGGCCGGTACCAAAGTCACCACCTGCTTCTCGGTCTACATTTCAGTTGAAATGTTTCTATTACACGGAAAATCACGATCCATGGGTGTGCAGGTTATTGCTGGCCACAACCAAGTATTTTGGACAGTCTCACTCACCATTACATTCCTACTCCTACAAATTGTCCAAAACTAACATTGTCAACTGAAGGGCCCTTTAAGCATTAACCGTGATTCTGAGGACAGATTCAGCTTACTTCTCTCCTCCATGAACTTGTGAAGTGATGCCAGCCAAGCATCCTTCTGTTCATCATACTCATCGTCATCCGAGTCATCTTCACTCTCCTCTTCCTCCTCCTCCTCCCATCCCCCTTGTCTCTGTCGCTCTTGCCCCCTTTCCCCTTGCGATTCCTCTTCAGCATGTCTGGGTCCCAGTTGCTGGGGAGCTGGCCCGTCTCTACGAAGTGGACGGCCTTTTCCACAGCTGCAAACAACAAATAAGGCAACTTGTCATCGACCACAGACCCCTCGCAGCTGGTATTTGGTAATGGCTCCTTTAACTTGGCAAGGAACCACTGGAAAAAAAGCCAAGTGCAATCTTTCTATTAGCTCAGTATCAGACAAGGTGGTACCCTGCGCAACCCTAAATTCCCAAGGCTGCCTCAGGTGGGAGCATTTCCCGTTTCTCTAAAATCCTTCACTGTGCTCCAACCTAATCCCACATTCTCTGTGTCCATAGGGCAAATTTAAGTCTGTTGTTCAGTCGTAATGGCTGGACTCTACCTTCCTCAACCCTACAAGTTCCTCCAGAGCCTCCTGGTCAATACTCAAGGATCTGGGAGGGTAGAGTTAAACAATGTTGACTAACAATAGCACTGAATTAGGACACCACACTGCATACAGCCTGTCAGGCTCATACTCCAGCTAGATTCACACAAGTTGGAGGCATAAAAAAACACTTTATCATTGATGCCAGTTGTCAACTAGATAGAATATTGAGCCATAGGGGCAATTCCATCATTACGGACGTTACGTTTGTATGCACCTTCCAAGTGTCAATTGATAGACAAATTAACTTGTGGTGGAAAAAGAACACTTTATTTGCTTTCATACTTGCAGCCTTTATTCAAATGTTAAATTAAAAAAACTTTGTTTTAGCTGCACCAATTAATTAGCCACAAGGGTGGGAAATGAGTCTTACAGACATAACCTTTGTATATTTAAGTAAAACTCTGTGAAACTGTTTCCTTTAGCTTTTTATACAAAATGTTGTTGCTGTTGGTCTGAGTCCATTCTATCCGGGCATGAATTGAAAGTTAGAAAAAAGTACTGTTGCAGACGTTATGACTGTTACGACGACGTTAAAGCTGTTATGGAGGTTACATTTTATGTTACAGACGTTACACGTGCAGGAAATATACATGTAAAGAAAACAGATGTTAAGAATTATTTTATTAATAATAACTTTCCATATGGAATTGCCGTGATATCATCTCAGATTCATTAAATTGAGGTGTACCCTAACCAGCAATAGTGGAGAAAAAAAATTGTAAAGTCAATTTGAAACATTGGCAGTCATGTCACAGTTGGTGTGGAATTGTCCATGGGTCCTTGGCACTGCATTGATGCAAGTTTATAGAACCAGAAAACTTAGAGCTGCAGAACAGGGTATTCCCAGATACATAATTTTTGGTTTTGTTTGTACTGCAAACTGTTCTGTGTCAGTTCCCCTCCTCAACTCGCTCATCAAAACAGAAAAACTTGGCCGACCTGTTTTCAGAGTTGCTAAGTCTCCCTTGTAGTTGTGATCCTTGGAGGCAAACGCTCGGCGATTCTGCTTGTCAATGCTATAACTGTAAGTAAAAGACCCATCCAAATTACACAATCAAGCCGTACTGTTTCGGTCAACAAAGAATACAAACCAAGTCTGAAAGAGAAACACAGATTCACTTAAATAACCACATGATGACTTACTTAGGCTACAAAACCAATTACTACATATTGCATGACTTACATATCCTTTGCCCTAGGGGGCCATAATTACTACTACCTTGATTCCTCTTAATTTTCCCTTCAAAAGCGAGGTTAGAAAGCAAGCTATCTTACAGGTTAAGTCTTACTTCATAACAGATTGGGCCCTCACAGAGCAATGATCCAATGGGAGACTTCGAGACGCTTGGTGACGGCAAGCATACTGGCCCCTTTTTACCAGTTCTGAGCATGTGGGCATTGTTCTGAGCATGTGTGCATTGTTCTGAGCATGTGCAGTACTGTGAAGAAGGACCAGTACGTCTGCTGCCTCCAAGCGTCTCGGAGTCTCCCACTGGCCAACTATGCAGACCCTCCAAACCCAAACAGCACCCCAAGCAGTGTGCCTAACATAACAACTGTCAGGAAAGCACAGGCATTATGACCTGCAACGGACGAATAAGTGATGTGGAAAATAGGGAAGTCACTTACTATCGGTTGTCCTTGAATGACCTGGCTACTACATGATCCTTGGATTTGGGCTGAATATCTTTTGCACTTGTTGGGTCTACAACCTTGATAAAACACATTTAAAAAATTGAAATTAAATTTGAATGCAAAATGTTAACAAGGTTTACAAACTTACAATAGAAGACATTACTTATTTCTACAAATATGTACCACTTAAGCACACAAGCTAGAATTTAACAGTAGCAATGGAGGCCATGCTTCATGTTTCCCTAAGATTTGTTCCTTTTTGTTCCATTGATATCTGCTACAAGGACCCCGGCACAAACTGTAACTCAGGCTGTAGTAAAGTGGCAGAATGGTGGCAGATGTGTGGCATTGTAGAGACAGTTTACAGTGACAAGATACACTCAACTACATGTGAGGACATTACATGCCACACGCAATGTCACACAGCGTCAGTCAACCTGTGATAGCATACTAAGCCAGTAAAAGACAAGGAAATCAGTGAAGTTACATGCCTTATACCCAACTTCTACACACTTCCAAGGACCCTTTGAACCACATTCTATCAAGTTGTACCATAGTCAAGTAGATAATATATGCCAACTGATGTGTTTAGCATCACATTATAGTGATTGTAAATCATTAGTTCAACACCACCATTTAACACAGCTGCGATGCCACACGCAGGATCGCCGTGAATGACCCAGAAAACCGAAAGATGACATACCAGTGCAGGGAACCAGGCATTCTTGCGCTTGTCATTGGTCTCCACAACGATGACCTTGCCAATGCTGTCCTCCCTGTCCTCTCTCCTGGCTGTCTTGGGCGAGGGCTCAACATCACTGTCTTCCTCCTCGTCCTCCTCGTCCGCACTGAGCAACCAAATGGAAGAAAAGCCGCATCGCTTGGGGGGTTATGCAATGCTGAAGAAACGGCAGCATCTCAAGAGAACTGAGATGGTTTAATGAATGCTTTAAGGACCAGATGAGCAGGAATAAAAAATAATGTAGCTCTTTGAGCAGCAGTAATGGTGGTAATGTGTTCTTTATGTACGTAATTAAGATTTGACCCAATACAGACGATTTGACCCCCCACTGTGGAACTTATGCCACCACTCCCAAACTGCTACAAATATTACACTGTCCTTCTTTGACCTTTTACTGACAAACTTGCACAACTTTTGATACCAAATTGTCAAAAACTAGACAGAACATTTTCATGTTACATGGCTCTTAGGGGTCCTAAGGTCATCAAAAAAACTGAAGTTTCCATATGCATGCGTACAAAGAAGGTGGTATACAAACTTTTTTCTATCAAGGTGAACTTTTCTTTCTAATTATCAATGTCATATCTGATGCAGGAGCAATAGAATGTATGAAAACAAACCCAATAAAATACAAACAGGAATAAAACTGCTGAAATACACGATGCCTACACAGTCAATGCATGATTATATGTATGCAAATTTCATGCACAAAATATGCAAATGGCCAAAGAATATCAAAGCAATCACTGCATATGCTGGTATCTTATGCAAATTTTAAATCACGTTTGTGTTTCAGTTTCAAGTCAATTGGGTACTTTGGAGATTTGTGCAAAAAGTGACTATATGCAGAAAATATGCGTACTTCAATGATTAATATGTGCATAATTTAAGTAATGAACATGATTGCGGATAATTATCAATATAGAAAAAGTGTTAATCTACCGGTGTCCCCTATCAAATTCTCCCCCCCCCAGAAAAGCTGAATCTGATTTGGTTAAGCCTTGAGGCCAATGATAACATTTGTAAAAATCAATAAAAGTATGTGTGCTAATAACGTATTTTCTTCAAAGGAAATTATCTACGCTTGAAAACTCAGAGACAAAATACAGTTTAACCCCAAAATCAACAATTACATGTAGCATTGACATTTTTCTAGTTTGTTCTGCAAATGAACTCACAAAGACTAGTGCTTCAAGGTTTAAAACCAAAATGTCAAGACTTATTTCAGCAAAGGTAATGTGCATGGTTGTGGCCACTGGTTTTCTGTTTGCAAATGGGATCAGAGATCAGTATGCATTAGATGCGTGTGCCTGTCCAGATTTGTTAAGTTTAAGAGGAAGGAATACATGACAAAATCTATTTTTCAAATTCTTTTTGGTGATATGAGGAATTCTTGATTTCACTCAGTAAAATGTCTTTTTCAAATACTCCAACCTCAAGTATCACTCAGAAATTCATTTCAAAAAGTTAAAAATTCCCTGTTTTTTTTTTAATGCAGAAATTGTCATGTATACAGATTTAAAAGCACGGCAAAGCTCTGCAAAGCAGAACAGTTAAAATTTCACGCCGTGTATACAGCCTGTGACCGGTATTCGACTGACTTTTTTCCCAGCAAACAAATCTCCCATGCAATGCCCTGAGGCTGAAGGCCCAGAACAACTCAGATCAAATATGTTTATTTTCTTAAAAGTTCTGTTTATAGTCTTTTCCAGCTTACTGTGAGCGGGTGCTAAGCCGACGCTTCTTCTTGCTTTGGCTTTCACGCATGACAGGTGTGCCAAAGTTCTCAGGATCGGTTAGAGGCAAGTGGTCCAAGGTCTGAATGGCACAATAAAAGGGGATGATGAAAATAGGAATTGCTGTGTCACATGTACGTTAGATTTCAGTCCTTTGATTTGCCAATGCACAAATTTGACTCAGCATTATGGAATGGGCAGTTGGAGCTGAAATCTTCTACTTACAAACATTATATATCAACAACTAAAAATAATACAGGAATGAAGGAAACCTAGAACATCATAAACATAAACATGAATCAGAAGAAACAGCCTTAATGTTGATGAAGCAATAGTTAGAAATTAACGCTGGAACAGAAAATCTTTTACAAATTGAACCATTGACAAGTGTGACTGATTATTAGATAAATGAATTAACAATGTAGTTCAAATTAAGCCAAATTGAAAAAATAAAAAGATGAAGAAAGAAAACATCAACCATTGGACAGCATGTGCTGGCTAGACCAAGAGAAAAATGTAGAATGGGAGGAGCAATAAGAACAGCCTTAATCATGAAGAGTGGATCCAAACAAAGCTGTAGCTTGTTGAAGATGATGAAAGATGACAGTAGTGCTGTTTTTCACAGGTGAGTGGTAAGTTTTCTATAATTCAGTTATTTACCTTTGAAAATTCCTTTTGGGGTACCATAACTGTTACACAGCACACAAAATAGATACATTGCGGTTTCTGCATGGGATGGACCTGTAAGCTTCATTCTATTTGATTCAAGGCAACAGACATTACTTGAACCACAGTGAGACTCAACAGCAAAAAAAAATTAACAGAAGAGCCAAATGACTTTCTTGAGCTTTACATACCTCACTCTCATTGAAGTGTCGCTCTCCTTGCAGACACAGCGACGTCCTCCTCAAAGTCTTCTCATCTCCATCATCAAAAACTGAGAAAGAAAATAAAGAAAATTATCAATAAAATGCTTTCAGCATCTCCTTTATTGGATGAAGGGCTCTACTTTTGGGGGTGGTATGCACAGGTGAATTACAAGCGCCATCAACAAGTGCGGATCTTTGTTTAAAATGCACAGCAAAAAGTGCTCACAAGACCGTAGTGAGAATTATTGGTAGTTGAAAAAGCTTTGCTCTATGGGACAACAAAAATTAGCAACATATATGGTACCGTCTCTAGGAAAAAATGCTGAGAAAATTTGAAATCGCGTGGTGGAGATTTTTAAGGCCATAAATAAAAGGAAACCTGGCTCTTTCATTTTGAAGAACTGCTGAAGCACACTACATGTAAATCACTTGACTTTCCATATAAGAATAAATAACTCCTACCAGAACCCTTGAATCAATGCTCTAGCCAGGATGTCATGTAATTACTAAGCACACTGCCCAACTCCGCAATAAAGCTTTATGCACAAATTTCCCAGGTTTGTAAAAACATGAGCGGCCAATATATCAAACCTTTGGCACAATCCAATCAAAAAACGCACACACTGTACTGCTTTTAACTACTGCCCCTACGACCAAACACAATGACAAACTAACAGCAAGGGGCTGGATGCCTTAGTTGGTAATGAGCTGCTCCGGCATAACTAAGGTCTTAAGTTCAAATCCTGTTTGGAAGGACCTACCCACTGTGTATGTACTGGCGTCAGTCAGCTTCATGATAACACCCTTCATCCAGGTGTCTGTCTCTGGATGTTTGGCCTCAACCATCGCTCCAACCTAACAATTGCAAAAGTGAGCAGTTTCAAATATGTTACAAAGAAAAATCACTTGACCAGAATGAAATAGCAGAGTTTCTTGGTTATATAAATTAAAAAATCAACACTTCAAGCCATGTATACGGTAGATATCTAATTAGTGAAATTTCTTTCAAATTCACAAGGACGCAAGTAAATCATATTGCTTGATTTATATGCATCATGTATTTATAGAACATGCTTTCTGGACAACGCTATTTCCTTTTCTGCTGCTCTTAGTACAGAATTGTGAATGGATATTTACATGTACATCTCCACAAGACAAGACTTGAGCAATGAAGTAACTCAGAACTCACCTAACGCTTGTCTTTACATAGCATAAAATCTTATGAAATGAGCAAGTCCTTGTTTCACAAGGCACTGCATGCTCACCTTGAGGTTCCCCTTAACGCAGTCATCGGAAACCACTGCATTGGCAGCATCAGTAAAGTTGATCTGAAATAAATCAACCATTACAACTATGCTTGTAATGTTTTTTAATGGAAACCGAATTCGACATCCTGAGAAAACAACCTGTATGCTGTGGTAAAATGATCGACTATAACTGATGTCTTTCTTTCGAGAAAGATAAATCCAACAATCCAATTTTACAGATAAATCCAACTTCAAGATTGAGTTTTTGAATGTTGCACACTACAAGCCCATTTGAAAAAAAGGGACATTTTCACCACACAAAACATTTTGGACGCAACACAATTCTGAATAAAAGGAAAGCTATTTTGCACTTGTATGATAAAGCACTATGTTTGAATGTATGTCATGTTTTTGTATGTATGTATGTATTGTGATGTATGGTTTTCAATTTTTAACTATCCAAAACTAGGATGGTATGCTTGTCTGTTACATGCAAAAACATTGTGAATGTGGAATTTTACCATTTGAAGCAATCACTAGGAAAGAAAATATCAGCTTTATACAATAACAAAGAAATTTCCACAGTCTCCTGAAAACCAGTGAATGGATTTGCCATTCTTACTATAGTAGAAGTATTTAGAACATATTTTCCTGTTCACACATGGTTGAACATGTATACATTTCACTTAACTATGGACCCAACTCATATGGCATTGATAAGGAGAAAGGAACGTTTTGCAAATAACCAAATATCTGTACACTGAATGATTTGTAACATTTCATTCTCTTAATCATTTATCACTTCATACATGTATCAACTTCCCTCAAATGTCTAGAGCCCACCTCATGGAGATGCTTGAGCACAGAAGTTGCTTTTAGTGCAAAAACTATTTACTTAACAAAACACAGGGTACAGGCAAAAATGACTTGTGATGTAATAATGTTTGAAAGTGGTTCTGTTGACTTTTGTTCACCACAAAGAACTAGTTCTGCTGAGTGCCTCTACAAATTTGCTCCCAGTTTTGTAATTCTTTTTACTGAAGCAAGAATAAAGACACCGCCGTTGGCTCAAACGCACATGGCTGCTTTTTGGAGGACTGAGGAGGCTTTCTTACATAAGCACCTGGGGAGTTGTAGAACCAAAAACATACATTACAAACATCTTGTGTCATTTTGGCTGTGGTTTTTCATTCGCCATGAATTTTCTGTTTTGCGCAATTGGTGACCTGCCTTGTGAGGATGGCCTCTGGTGACAAACGCACACAACTCACCTTGCACTTCACCAACTTCTTGATGATTTTCACCTTAGCTTCACAGAAAGCACCTCTGTACTTGGCGCTGACGTCAGTGCCGACTGGGAGGAAGGCTGGTTCTTCTCCGCCTGCCTGTTTTGAGGAGAGAAAGGAAACTATTGGATAACAAACATGGTACCCTTGGCAGGTTTGAAAGGGAAAATCAAGTCCAATGTAGCCCCATAGTAGAGCCAGTCTACTGGACTACCTCCATATCATTGGCTCTACACCTACCAGTACAAGTAAAAAAAAACCAAAACTAGACAGACTCATGCTTCATGGAGAAGTTCACAATAAGCCCCACATTTTTACATGGCTTTACTCCGTCAAGCAGTCATCTCCAGAACTGCAATTCCCAGAGTTTTCCTTTTCGTGAAATTCTGGTCTCCTTTTTGTTGTCTCAATGCTACATGTACCATCTGATTACTACACCAATTCACTTCCGATCATTGAATAGGCAGTACTGTCGGCATCTTTTGGCCCAGAGCCAGACAATACACACATAGATCCTACGACTTGTCTTTTCAGCCAATTCATGTCAAACAGTTATGGGTGATGAAGCCGTACGTACATACACAGTGAGAAAACTCACGAGTATTTGTATCGAGTTCCGTATCACTGTCAGATTGTGGCAATGGTTTCATATTCAACCCCAAGGAATACATGTACATGTATGTGCACTGCTGTTTACGACTGTTCTTTAAGATTACCATATTCCTTTCATGAAATATGGGACTTAACGTAAATGTTTTTACGAAAGCTGGGGCCTGTCCATTTTTTAATGTTTTTTGATGTACCGTACATGTAGGTGTGGGGCCAAGGATACAACTACATGAAGGTAGTCCAGTAGTCTAGCCCTGGTGGGATCTTTTCCCTTTTCCTGTCCTGTTCAGAGGTTTAGATCCAGAACCACGACCTTATCTCCGTGCTACCAAGCCTCTCAATACTTTATTTCAGGTAAAATCTGTGACTCTTCCACCTCCCAATAAATGTCGGGAGACCTCCACAGAATCGTGTCACCCTGTATTTTACACTTAGGCCTACTCCTGAAAAAAATTCAGTGTGCTAATGAATTTGGTCGTGTTCATCTGCAACTCTGTAGGTTGCGCACAAAGCTGACATGGGCGAGTACTAATAAGTCACAGGCTTCTTTTTAAATACATGTATAAATGTGATGTGTATGTTACATGACATTGGTTAAGTGAAATCTTCATGATATCTTATACAAGAAGAATGTGGTATCTTGATGTTTCTTCTTACACTTTACCACTGCCAGTGTAATGCAACATACTCCACAATTTTATCAGGCCTACCAATTAAGTACCATTCAAATCTTTTTCGTACATGTACGTAGGCCTATCGCAGTATCAAACAAGCATGACAAGTTACATTAAAAATTACATGATTCAGTTTCTGATTCCCCACATGATCATCATGCTTCTGACATGCTGAAATGTTTGCAAAAAGACGGCTGCTTTCATATAAAAACTGGCAACACTGCACACAATCCTCTTCGTTCGTCATACATACTTCCTTATATTAACATGATCAATTAACTTCAGAGCGACTGCAACATCTTTTGTCACGTTGCGGCAAAATGCGCAAATTCGCGTTAACGTTACTGACAACTTGAAACAAAATGAAAATGGTGGTGGTTAGACCCCTAATGCTTTTTTGAACGTTTTTAACCTTCTTTTATGCTAAGAATATGACCTTACCATATTTTGATTTCGAAGGACTTCTAACCACAGTTACAGACAGGAAACTTTACGTAACCGCCTCTTCTTATCAATCCAATTATAGGAATTTACGGCGCAAAATCAGGAAACATTTTGGACGCAGGTCCCAAAGACTACAGCTGGTAGTGCAAGCGGTACGGCTAAAATACGTGGGTACGCACGTACGTGCGTAAACCGTGCGTAAATTGTACATCATGTCACAACAACATTATCATGGGGGGTCCCTCGCTCTCATTGGCCATTTATCACGTGGGGTCTAACGTTTGAGGTCATCCGTAGTCGGACACCCAGTCGGTATATGGAGAATTACAGCTTAGATGAGTTGGGGGTAAGATTTTGTAAAAGGTAAATCCCCAAGGCTGGTACCCTGAAAAGACCAGCGAAATTATAGCCTGGTCCCTTTTTAGCGCGTTCTTCCCACCGGAATGGGTTTTAATTTGTAACACACTAATCGTCGTTCAGGTACCTTTGGTTCTTTCACCTTGCATGTAAAATGAGATGTCAACCATGTCAACGGACAGAGACATGTGGGAGATGCAAGATCATGGTAAACAATGACCGGCTTCTTTGATACTGCGTTTTTCTGTTCTAAATCAGTCATTATTTGTGTCTGACCGTAGTACACATCAACCAAAAAAATATGAACGCTACTGTATCAAAGGAGGATGGAAGGGATATGTTTAACCTGCCTTTCTTGCTGAATGCCGGGGGGGGTAGGCCTACCCCCAGAACTGTGGGGTCCTAAGTCCGCCCCGCTCCCACGGACAGACGGAGGAGCAGACGTCGGACCCCACAGTTCTAGTTCTGGGGGGTCCCGGGGGGTGATGGGGTGTGTCTGACATATCTGAGGGTGTTTAATGGATGTTGCTGGGACAACCATGGAGGTATTCCTCCATAGGATAACTGCTTTCGAGTCAACTCGTACCTTGGGCATGTTGTTTGTTGGACAACTTGTACCTTGAACGGCTCGCACCTTGGGCAACTCGTACCGTGAGTTAAGACGTCTCGTACTTTCAGGTTCGCAATTCACTTAACTTTCTCATTTTTCCTTGTTGACATGTTTAAGGAACATATCAAGGAAATGCCTTTATAAATTTCCTGGAGAGAAACACAGTGACAGCATGATTTTCTGCATATTATCCTTCCATGGGCATTTGTGCGCCATTGGTTTAAGTGACAGATGTCAAACAACCCGATGGGTGCATTCCACCAAATGGTTGTATTTCTGTGTGCAAGCTCATCAATATTTTGTGATCCCATGGGGGTTTTTACAATAAGACGTGCCATAATCAGGAAGGATCATACAAATATTTCTATAAATCCCAAATTTGGGACTGAAAATTTCCAGTTCGGGTATTTCTCTCACAAAAAGCCCCAAATTGAGGGCCTATTTTGGATAGAGGCGGCCGGCTACATTAAGAGCTGAGCGTGATAACTGAATCTGCTTGCCCTGACGAAGGTACCCAGTTACTGAAAGCTTGGCAATTGCATAATTCAGAGCACTGATTATTTATTATATTTTTGTTTGAGAAATGATGGCACTCTCTCATTCAGAGACATTTCTTCTCTGTTGACTTAATTGGCTTATATTTAAGCCTTGATTGATTTCTGCCTCAGATGCCTAGGCCTGACACACATGAACGACGTCGAAGCATATCGGCCTCCCAGAGTGTACGGGAAGCAGTGTAGGCCTAGCTGAAAATAGCAAAGTAGGTGACTGAGAAACCAATTTATTGACCCCACTGCAACAATAAGCTCTAAGCAAGGTACTTGTGACTGAGAAACCAAAAACTGTTCATGATGACTGCAGCAGTAATAAGCTCTGACCAAGGTACGAGTTGTCACGTACCAAAGGTACGAGTTGTCTATACTGGAGGTACAAGTTGGCCAAGGTACATGTACAACTTTGCAAAGGTACAAGTTGGTGCAATTAAGTCGAGTTGATGGTACGAATTGTCCAAGGTACGAGTTGTCCAAGGTACGAATCGACCTGTTCCCAGATAACTCATACATTTCTTTTATTGAGAAATATGAAGGCCTACGTAGCACCGTGATCAGAATACTGAAAGAAATAAATACAGTTACTAGTGCTCTTAATTTATCTTATTGCCGAGCTTTTGGTAACTGTGTACCTTCATCAGGGCAAGCAGATTCAGTTCTGAATGAACGCAGAAAAATCCACGTTCATTCCACCTCGATGCAGCATTCCAAGTTTGAAGATTACGCTCTGCTCCAGTTCCTTACTCTGTACAACAGATGGCGCTTTCCGAAGGATGTAGATGCTTACATCACGGAGAATATGCGGTGGTGAGGAAAAGTGCTATGCGACAGTGAGACCGGGTGTTGGCGCACACTGTGCAAGTGTTCTGCAAAGTGGTCACCAAGGCTATGCATGGTCTCAATGATGTTTCTTTTGTCGAAGTGACAATAGACTAATCTGAGAGAGGCTATAACTGCTGTGGCACCTCACTCAAACGCACGTTCTTCAGCTTGACGCACTTGTGCATCTGGCAAATCACGACACCCTAGTAGTCTAAGACAGTAAGACTTACAAAGAGGCATGTCATGCGCGTGTACCACCTATCATGCATGCAGTAATGACTTCTAATTCTAGTTGTTGATTTACACAATAGATAGATGCAACTCTTTGTGACATCTGGGAGCTTTGTGACCTTTTGTGGTGAATACAAACCGCTACATTGCGACAAGTTAACAGTGTTTTCACCTCACTTTGACCTCAGGTTGCAAAAGCTACATGTACGTCCATCTATAGTTATGGTAAGTGTAATGTGACTTCTAAGTTCTGTAGTGACAGCATTGCACAATTATCATTGTCAATCTCAATTCAATTCCCATGCATCGGCAAGGCATTGCGATTACTCAGTTAGTGCACACACTGTCACTGCAATCCTGGTGTGCTGGGTTAGTTGAGGAATGGAGTGACCCAAGCTG